ATGAAGTGATATTGATCATTTTAAATGAAAATAAGAAAAAATAAAACCCTTACCAAACACAACGAAATACGTCGATCAACCTAGAGATTTAGATGGACGAAGTTTTAGAAGAAGAAATTGAGAGAAAATGGGACTGAAGGATCCCAAATTGAAGAAAAACGAAGGGAAAATTGCAGGGGATAAATCTGCATAAAACTGCAGTTTTCTCCCTTTGCAACTAACGTCACGTTATCAAGATTACTTTTGGAAGAACCACTTTGCACAACGAACGCATAATTCGTCGCGCAAGTTTCCTTCTAGCGACGAAACATTATGTTCGTCACGCAAGTATCTTTTTTTTTCCAAAATTCTATTTTTCGTTTTCTTTATAATTTAATAATGTAATCTATTTGCGTGACGAACACTATATTCGTCACGCAAGTTTTTTTTTTCCGTTTTCTTTCTTAATGTAAATTTGTTTTTACCCATTTCAAATTATCAAACCAAATTATATATTACCAAAATATTTATTAAAACTAATTTATTAACTAAAATATATATTATAACTAATGTCAACTTGTGCGCCCTCTGCAACCCGTTATACATCGAACTTCCACTCCCAGGACTTCTTCTTGAAAAGCTCGTCCACATACTTCCGCTGCTTCTCATCGGTTTCATCAACATCCCAAACAACCTGTAATGGCAATAAAATAAAATTAAATGTCGCAAAAATATTATTTTTAAATAAAACAATTACACATTCTTTAATATAAACTTATCGATAACTGCTGCACCATTAAGTTCTTCACATCCACAGGCACCATTTTCCAAGAGTTGAACTCAATACAACACTTCTCCCGCACCAATCCCCCTATATCGCAAATAAGTTCGGCGTATGCTTCAGCCGATTTTTGTCAGCAAACGAGGGCAAACGCTTACGTCGGTACCTCTATAATGTCACCACAGCTTTCTTCATTTTTTTTCCTACCACAAAATTTTTAAATGTAATAGCCTATTAAAACAATAATTTCAACCATTTCAAATGTAAAACAATTAACTCAACAATAATTTTTTTTTTACCTTTCCCTTCACGAGAGCCTTCTCCCTCCCAACCTTTTGTTGACTCTAAAGCCGAATCGGCCATCATTTGATATAAAACATTTGCAAAATAAGGTTCTGAAACTGTGTTTATATAAAACTCGACACACTTTGCGCAACGAATCCTTGGTTGTACAAGGTTGTTACAACTGCCCGCTATAAATGCAAGCATTTAATGTGTGATTGACAGTCTGACCGTGTTAAGAACCCTTTTCGTGATGAATAGTAGTAGTCGTCGCACTAAGTGGTCTTGCGTGACGAAACCCTTAGTCGCTGTCTTGTGTGACGATTACAGTTGTTTGTCACGCAAACTAATTAAAACCTTAAGTAATTACAAACAAATATTCAGTTATAATATTTATTCTACAAATAATTAAAACCTTAAATAAATTGAATTAATCCATTCAGTTATTTAAAAACTCAAACAAGAATTAAAGCCAAATTAAGTCCAAATACATAACTTATAAAAAAATACCCTAAATTTAAATAGTGTCCTCAAAAACAGAAATCTAAAACTACTATTTCGATGGTGCTCCATTCTGCCCGATGTCATAACGCCACCAATTATAACCTCCCTCCAACGCTGCCTTCATCAACTTCATCAACTCTTCGTTCGTATCATCATCAAGAGTATACTTACACTGTTACACATATATGAAAATAATTAATTCCAACATATAACAAAAAAAATTCACAAAATTAATTATTGATCCATCAACAGCATACTTACTAATAATTCATTTATCACCACCTTCTTGACATTGTCGGGCACATATTTCCAAGAAAGCCACTCAGCAGTAAGACAATTATTCCCCATGGCTACAGCAATCGCATGCGCGAACTCCACATGTTGTCTCAAATCATATGGGTTGGCGGGCATGCTCACATCCCAGTTTTTATCCTCCATCACATCACGAACATAATTGTGAAGAATAAGGATAGCAAAAGTGCATATTTATAGGAAGGTTAGGGACTTTGCGCAACGAATGCTTTGTCGCGCAAACATCTACACTAAATACAGTATTGATTCCTCTTATTCACATGCACTGAATTGTCGAGGAAAACTGACAATGACTTGCATGACGAATCCTTCGTCATGTAAAGATTCACCCTTCGTCGAGCATGTTTTTCACACCAAAAAATTACCCGCGGTTTTTCTTACTGACTTTGCGCGACAAGTGTATTGTTTTCATCGAGCAAAGTTTGTTTGCGCAACAAAGTTATGCGTCGCGCAAAGCTGACCTTTCTTGTGCGACTAATATCCTCTTCCATCGCACAAAACTATCTTACGCAACGATTTTTTCATTGTCGCACAAACATTTGTCACGCAAGTAGTTTTTTCTACTAGCGAAGTATATTGATGTAGCCATTTCCATCATAACTGCTTACATATTTTGTAGCAAACTTTTCTCTCCGTTGTATGTCTCTACAGGTTTTTGATCTACATGCAATTGGCTTGCGACGAGCCTTTTCAACACCAGTCTTCAGAGGGAACTTAACCTCAAGGTAAAAAGCATGCTGAAAAATGCTTGGATTCGAAAGTTATTTGAACACTTTATATAACTGGTATAGCTTCCAAATCATTTCATTAATTTATGATCTATATGAGAGACTGCTGCTACCTACGATAGAGATTTGCATTATCATTATCGCTAATTTCTTTATAATTGATAGACTCACAAATTTATTACAATGGGATTCGTAATTCTCCGCGTACACTTCAGGTTGGCAAACTGTCTACTGGTGACTCTAATGTCCCCACAGGATAAAGCATCAATGGTTGCAACGATGCTAGGTAATCTTTTAACTAAACCACGCCGTTGCTTTCTTTGTAGCATATTAGATCTTGGTATCCCTACTTTTTCATGCGAAGGTTAATGGACTGTCACCTATTTGCACATTTGAAATCTAATCTATTGTGTAAATAACTTGGTAAATTGGTATGGTGATATGGATAATCATGACAGTGCTCTTGTATTTGGTAGTCGTCGTTACGTTGGAACATTAAAGAAGGGAGGGACATTGAATTAAGAGACCAATCACAACACAAAACGTGTCAATATCATAATAAAACTCCTAGAGTCCCATATCAACCGCGAAAGGGAGCTAAAGACTCTCCTCAACTATAAAAGGAGACTGTTCTCCTACAATTAATTCATAATGCCATTATTGTACTTAAACTCGTCATTAGAACTCACTCATAATGATTGTGCTTTGTGAAGCCTAGTTTTAGTGTTTGGCTTCCCTTGTTAAATGTAATCAATTGTACCACACATGTTCTCATTAGATTTAGGGTTATATTGCAACTTTTGGGATCATGTTGCTGGAAATATAACTTCAAGAGCTTAACTTCTCTCATCAAAGACTTGTTCATTCATATGTATTTCATGTCATTATTTACAGTTCATTCTGTCTAGTGGTTCTCTGTCATCAAAACTTCTTGTTGCTATCACGCAAGCTGGGCACATACTTTAAGACAACCCACATGAGTCATCTGACTGCTTTTTCCCGAAGGTTTTTCAGCCTTAAATCTTTCCAAATTGCCTTTACACATGACACGTGGTTATTCTTGTCCCCCGTCTTGTCTAAAACAAAGCCCACTATAAAAATTTAATCTAGGGTTCTTTTCAACTTGGCTAGGAGATTTATATTTTTTTTGCTTATCCAAATCATTGCATATTAGGGTAGCATTGTTTTTGTGATTTTGATCTTTGTTAAAGGTATGGAGGTAATCATTTAACTAAACCACGCCGTTGCTTTCTTCGTAGCATATTAGATCTTGGTATCCCTACTTTTTCATGCGAAGGTTAATGGACTGTCACCTATTTGCATATTTGAAATCTGATCTATTATGTAAATAAGCTGGTAAATTGGTATGGTGATATGGATAATCATGACAGTGCTCTTCTATTTTGCAGTCGTCGTTACGTGGAACATTCTTTACCATAACTTTGAAGGAAACAAAAATTGGATTTCAGGGCTTCGCTGTTGCCAAGTAGCAGATATGTTGAAATTGGCATCAATATTTGTTAAAGCTGTGACTGACATAAAAAATGCTGAAAAACAACTGCAGAAGAGTCCTTGCAACGTGTGACAGCCCTTGAACAGGCGGTCACCCAAGTTATCGACTTTGTTATTGGAAAGTGCCTCTCTGATCTTTTGACGATTTCATCCAACTCCAAGCCTTTTAGTTGCTAAATTTTATGGGGTAAAAATGTCCAGATCATTACATTTCTGCAGAGGTTAATAAGTTTTTTATATATTATTGGTGCTGATATAATTACAATTTATCTCTTTCGATCTTTCGCTCATATCCTTAGTGAATGCTACCTACTCCGAAAGCAATTTGAAGGTTTAATCCTTGTTTAGCTAGATCATTTCTCAGCCAGTGTGACATGCCAAGTCCATGGATTCAATTTTGTGATTACGTAACAAAAAATGGGGATCTCTGGACCAAAAATGCTGAGAGAATAAGTACATATTTGATTGCTTCTAGACATATTTGTTTGTAAGGTCCCTGCGCTTCAATGAAAATCCCACTTTGCCCCCTAAACTTGCAACTGTGTGACGTTTACCCCTACGCTTTTAATCAATTCCGCATCAAATAAGCAAAATAATTTTTCTGACCAAATTGACGAAATAAGGTAAAATAAAGACACGAAACGGAAGCATATGGGGCAAAGTCTCATAATTACAAGTTCATGGAGCAAAGTGAGATTTTCATCAAAGCACGGGGCGTGTAAACTAAAAAGCCTTGATTTTAGTGAAAACACCGTACCAGTGCAATGCCCAAACTCCAAACCAAAGTATTACCTACCACCTTTAAACATAACCTACATGAACACCTTGCTTCTCAACTAAACCACTCTATTTATAACAATTGCACCCTGCATGATATCTTACCACCCCAATTGAAAATGTTAATCCCAAAGTTCTCTTTGATTTTAATATAATGTAAAAAATTGGAGAGGAGCTGTATATATAGGGGGCAGCCCCAGTTCCTGCTTTACTGGTAATTTCAGAAGTTATATATATCAGCATCTCTTTAGAGAGAGAGAGAGAGAGATCAGAGAACTAGAAAATGGGGAGTGAACATGTTGTTCAAGGAGGTTTCCCAATGAAGGCGAACGCCGGAAATGCCACGATTCTCGCACTCGGCAAGGCTTTCCCTCACCAGCTTGTCATGCAGGATTTTCTGGTTGATGGGTATTTCAAAGATACCAACAGTGATGATCCACAGCTTAAGCAGAAGCTGGCTCGACTCTGTAAGTCCGTCAAACTTCTCTCCTCTTTTTTTCAAATATCAACATTGACACTAATAGTTATGCAAACCCTACACAAAAGACCCCAATTTGGGGATCATAAGAAGTTACTACGCGTATAGACTCTGCATGTGAACCATGCGAAAAGAAATGTTCTCTTGCCAGACTTTTCACTTGTACCATTAACTAATCAGGTGATTTTTTGGTTTAAATTTGTAAGTCCGAGTAACAATCTGACAACATAACATACCAAATATCTTGTAGGAAAATATGACAGTGTTTTGTTTAAAAGGATAGTGATATCGTATTGTTTTAGTAACTCTTCAATGGCATTTCACAGGCAAAACAACAACAGTCAAAACTAGGTATGTGGTCATGTCAGAAGAGATTCTGGAAAAGTATCCAGAGCTTACAACTGAGGGCACACCAACTATAAAGCAAAGGCTACACATTTGCAATGAAGCTGTAACAAAGATGGCAATTGAAGCTTCACAAGCTTGCATCACGAAATGGGGGAGACCTACTTCAGATATAACCCACTTAGTCTATGTCTCGTCCAGTGAAGCTCGCCTCCCGGGTGGTGACCTTTACCTAGCGAAAGGGCTTGGACTCAGTCCCCAGACTAAAAGGGTCATGCTCTACTTCTCGGGCTGCTCGGGCGGTGTGGCTGGCGTTCGTGTTGCCAAAGACATTGCCGAGAACAATCCAGGAAGTAGAGTCCTGCTCGCTACTTCTGAAACCACTATCATTGGGTACAAACCACCAAGTGCAAACAGACCATATGATCTTGTTGGTGTTGCACTTTTTGGGGATGGTGCTGGAGCCATGATGATTGGCTCAGACCCCGAATTGGTCTCTGAAAACCCGCTGTTCGAACTTCACACAGCCTTACAAGAGTTCCTGCCTGGTACTGAGAAGACCATTGATGGAAGGGTCACAGAAGAAGGGATCAGCTTCAAGCTGGAAAGAGAGCTGCCTCAAATAATTGAAGATCACATTGAAGGATTCTGTGGGAGGCTGATGGGAGTTGTTGGATACGATAACAAGGAGTACAACAAGATGTTTTGGGCTGTCCATCCAGGAGGTCCGGCAATCTTGAACCGAATGGAGAAGCGTCTTGATTTGTCGCCAGAGAAGCTGAACGCGAGCAGACGAGCTCTGGCGGATTATGGCAACGCTAGCAGTAACACCATAGTGTATGTTCTGGAGTACATCATTGAAGAGAGCAAGAAGATGAAGAAGGAAGGGGAAGGAGATGGCGGATGGGGAATGATCCTGGCTTTTGGACCTGGAGTTACTTTTGAGGGAATTTTAGCAAGGAACCTTGCTGTCTAATTTTTTTTTATATATATACTGTCATTAAATGGATGGCCAATGTTACTTAGTAACTGCCTTTCCACTGCTGTTTCAGTTGATTAATCAAAGTCTTATGTTCTTAGTTGATTAATCAAAGTCTTGATTTGTCATCAAAGTCTTATGTTCTTAATCAAAGACTTACCACCTGAGGATATGATAGGAGCACAACGGGAATACAACCCCGTGCCAGGCCAAAATTTTATTTGTAACCTAAGCTATATCTCACTTTTTATTTCTCCCGTCACATGTCAAACGATGAGAGAGAGGTGTTATACCCTCTTTGCACGATCTAATCTCTCCCTATTGAAACTGATGGGTGGCCATCACTTTGTGTTAAAGTGTTATTCTTTAATTTTAGGGTTTATGTCTTCTAGGAGATTTCTTGTGAGTTGTATCTAGGGCTAGCCTTTTATTACTTAATTTTAGGGTTTATATCTTCTAGGAGATTTCTTGTGAGTTGTATCTAGGGGTAGCCTTTTTCTCTCTAGCTACTACTTTGTAGCTGTTTGCATTTGTTTATTGGGTAGGTTTTTCCTTCCTTGCTTCGTCTCCTTTTTATGAGACCTCTCCCTTGTAATTCTTTTTCATGAATACATACACACTTTGTTGAACTTAAATCTCAACATGGTATCAGAGCAGGAACCATATGGTCGTCCTGCCTCTGTTGTTCAATCCATTCTATTCAAAAAATTCTTTCTTTCTTGGTGTCTTCTGCTCTTCGTTCATTGTCATAGCAGAAGACCAGACTTTAAGCCGAGAGGCAGCAAGCTCGTCAAACACTTTATCTTCCAATGTGATTCATGGTGAAATCAATCCAAATCTGCGCCTGTGCTCAGTGTTATTAAACGAGTTTAATTACCTACCATGGTCTCACATCATCTTTCTTGCCCTAGGTGGAAGATCGAAGCTAGGGTATGCCAATGGAAGCATTAAAGCACCTAAACCATCCTTTACATCGTATGTTGCATGGCATGCAAACGATCAGCTTGTTATGTCCTGGATACTTAACTCTATTGAACCTAAGCTGTTTGAACTATTCAGTTACTCAGAATTCTCTCATGTTTTGTGGGAATCTATCAAAGAGATGTATGGCAGCCAAAACAATGCTGCTCGTATATTTCAACTCAAGAATGATCTCACTGGGCTAAGGCAAGGTGATCAATCCTTCGTGCAACACCTTGGGAGCATGAAGTCCATGTGGAACGAACTTGACATGTATCGTCCACATACAACAGATTTCGCTGCACTCCTCAAAAAAGCCGATGAAGACAAAGTGTTTCAACTTCTGGCAAGTCTTGGAGCAGAATATGAAGATCTTCGAAGTCACTTGCTGATGACTGCAGATTTGCCCTCGTTTAATAGTGTTTGTCAAGCTGTCCAACAGGAGGAAACTCGAAGAAAAGTCATGCACATTGAACCCCAAGTCCAACTTTGAGGCAAGGGTTTTCACCAGCAATCATAAACACACTGGTGAAAAAAAAATTACTAGAAAGAAGGCAGATTGGAAATGTACCTACTGCAACATGAAAGGGCACATAAGGGAAAAATGTTGGATCCTACATCCGAAGTTAAAGCTAAAGTTTGATAAGGAAGGAAGAATGATCAAAGAAGGCAAGGGAATTTTTCCAAAGCCTCTCCATTCAACTAGCTCGTTGACTGATGGTTTACCAAACTTCACTACAAATCCCATAGATTTGATAAATGAATTTGCAAGCTTTTTTCAAAGGAGATGAGGCACCACTGAGGAAGAGGAAGTGATCTCTAAGAATCTTACTGCCATGCTTGGAAAATTTGCAGGCTTCTTGAATGAGACCACAACCCAAGACAATGTTTCATGTATTATCTCTGCCCTCTCCACTGCTCTCAATGAAATTACGCATGATTGTTGGATCATAGACTCAGGTGCCACATATCATATAACAAATAAGTCCTCTTACTTAGATAAGTTTCAAAATATGCATGAGTCTTCACTTGTGTCTGTAGCAAATGGGAAAGGAGAACCTATTATGGGAAAAGGTAAACTTAAACTGTTAAGTGATGAGATTGAGTCAACAGCCTTGTATGTGCTTTCATTTCCCTTCCAGCTTTTGTCCATAGGAAAACTCACAAACACACTAAATTGCCTTGCCATATTCTCTCCTCACAATGTTTTATTTCAGGATCGAGTCACCCAGAAGAAGATTGGTGAAGGGTTTCTATTGAATGGACTCTACTATCTTTCAAAGAAGCTCAAGCCTGTTAAGCATCCTTTTGCTAACCTAAGTCTTCCTCAAGAGTACCAACTTTGGCACCTTCGATTGGCCCATCCCTCAGAACCTGTGATGAACAAACTATTTCCAAATTTTTGTAAAGCCACACATGAATGTGAAGTCTGTCAAATATCAAAAGCTACTAGGCTTCCTTTTGTTTCTTCCAAGTCTAGAACCAGTAAACTGTTTGAGGTTGTTCATTCAGATATTTGGGGTCCTTCCCGTGTAGAATCATTTAATGGATATAAATATTATGCCACCTTTATTGATGACTATTCTTGTTGCACTTGGATTTTACAGTCAAATAATGGCACTGAGTATACATCCAACAATATGTCTAATTATTTGAGCAATCATGGGATTTTACATCACACCAGCTATGTTGGTACACCACAACAGAATGGTGTAGCCGAGAGAAAAAATCGTGACTTATTAGAGAAATCCAAATCTCTTATGCTTCAAATGCATGTTCCTAGAAAGTTTTGGTCTCAGGCTCTCCTCACTGCAGCCTACATCATCAACAGGTTACCTACACGTGTATTGAATTCAAAATCACCTGATGAAGTAATGAAGGGAAGAACTATTGACATCTCACACCTGAGAACTTTTGGATGCACATGTTATGTCCATATTCAAGCTGCACATCGAGACAAGCTCGATCCTAGAGCTGTCAAGAGTGCCTTCATGGGATACTCGAGCACTCAAAAAGGATACAAATATTACAATCCTTTTAATGGAAAGATTGGTATCTCAAGGGATGTTTGATTTGATGAGAATGCTCCCTTCTTTCACAAAAATAACAGTGAAGACCTCAGGGGGAGAACCTACTGGACATTTTTCCTCTGCCCACTCCAGCAAATCTACATGAATTCAATGTTTATCTCGACCACCACTCAGAACAACACGATGATGAGGAAACATCTCCTGATCAAGGAAGCTCAGGCACTACTCATCAACCTGTCTTGGCACCATGAAGAAACCCTACTCGTGACAGGCATCCTCCTCTAAGGCTACAAGAGTATGTTACGTACACGACAAGACATCCCATCTCCAAAGCCTTAACCTATCAAAAACTGTCACCATCCCATGCAGCCTTTCTACATCAGTTGTCCACTAGTGATGAACCAAGAAATTTTAATGAAGCTGCTCACATTCCAGTATGGCAGAAAGCTATGAGCTTCAAGCACTGAACAACAACCAAACATGGAGTGTGGTTGATCTTCCAAAAGGAAAAAGGGCAGTAGGGAGTAGGTGGATATACAAGACCAAGTTTCATTCAAATGGCAATATTGAAAGACATAAGGCTCGTTTAGTAGCCCGTGGCTTTACTCAAACTTATGGCATTGACTACAAGGAGACATTTGCTCATGTAGCCAAAATGAGTATTGTACAAGTGTTGTTATCTGTGGCAGTCAATCTCGATTTGTCCGTATTTCAAATGGATGTGAAGAATGCATTTCTTCATGGTGACCTCAAAGAGGACATGTACATGAAGCTTCCTCCCGGACATCCACAAGATCATGAAACTAACAAAGTTTGCAAGCTCCATAAGGCCATATATGTACTGAAGCAATCTCCCCGAGCATGGTACTCGAAGTTAAGTTCAGTCCTTGAAGCTACAGGATTCACAAGGAGCCACTAATTCCTCATTATTTGTTTGCACTGGTATAAGTAGCAAACTAGTTGTTCTTATATATGTTGATGATCTTATTATAACAGGTGATAACATAGAAGAAATCAATGCCCTCAAATCCTCTCTTCATTAACAATTTGCCATTAAGGATTTGGGAATCTTAAAGTACTCTCTTGGCATTGAAATGGCTACTTCCTCCAAGGGTTTGTTCTTAAATCAAAGGAGGTATGTTCTTGATCTATTGGATGAAGCTGGCATGTTGAATTGCAAGCCCGCTTCTACTCCTCTGGTGAGTAGACTTCAAGTAGATGCACCCAATGAACCATTACCAAACCCTAGGGTTTATCAACGTGTGGTAGGAAAACTAATCTACCTCACTATCACCAGACCTGATATTGCTTATTCTGTAAGTTTTGTCAGTCAATTTATGCACTCTCCCTCGATGATTCACTGGGAGTGTCAAAAGGATACTCAGATACTTGAAGGGATCCATTGGCAAAGGCTTACTCATGCAAAAACATGGTTCAAATCATATCATGGCATACACTGATGCTGACTGGGTGGGTAATGCCCTCGATCGCAAGTCTACCACTGGTTTCTGTACTTTTGTTGGTGGCAATCTTGTGACATGGAAAAGTAAAAAACAAACCGTGGTTGCAAGATCAAGTGTTGAGGCTGAATATAGAGCCATGGCAGCCACGGCTTGTGAATTAATTTGGTTAAAAATTCTCCTAACGGATCTTGGTTGCGTCAACAATGAACATATGTCCTTGTTTTGTGACAACCAAGCTGCCATGCATATAGCTTCAAATCTGGTATTCCACGAAGAACAAAGCACATTGAAGTTGATTGCCATTACATCTGAGCACAAGTCCAATCCAAAGTCATCAACACCGTGTACACTCGAAGTTATGATCAACTTGCTGACTTGTTTACAAAAGCTCTCGACTCTACACATTTCCAAAGATTGTTGAGCAAGCTTGGATCAATCAACCCCCTTGATCCAGCTTGAGGGGGAATATTGAAACTGATGGGTGGCCATCACTTTGTGTTAAAGTGTTATTCCTTAATTTTAGGATTTATGTCTTCTAGGAGATTTCTTGTGAGTTGTTGTATCTAGGGCTAGCCTTTTATTCCTTAATTTTAGGGTTTATGTCTTGTAGGAAATTTCTTGTGAGTTGTATCTAAGGCTAGCCTTTTTCTCTCTAGCTACTACTTTGTAGCTGTTTGCATTTGTTTAGTGGGTAGGTTTTTCCTTCCTTGCTTCGTCTCCTTTTTATGAGACCTCTCCCTTGTAATTCTTTTTCATGAATACATACACACTTTGTTGAACTTAAATCTCAACACTCCCCAACCTGGTAAGTTTTCCACACGAGGATGGATTTGGTGATGTCAATATAAATTCCGTTTTATGCAACAACTTTTCTTTGGTCCGTGATAGAAACAATGTTTATTGGGATGATATTTGCTGAATTAGCACAGGACTAAAGTAGGACCAGGACCAAGAAGAAAGACCAAAAAGCCGTAGAAACCCAAATACCCGACGACTCGGGCAATTGGCAGAAATGGGATACCGTACAAGATAGTTTGTTTGCAAGCATCTAGCATCGGCACATATTTGACCCTTGAATTTAATCCAACACATTAATTGAATCACCAAGGACTGATTGGATTAAATTCAACCACCGCCAAACACTGGTTTGATAGCGGTGGCAAACGTGGCAGTCGTTTGGTCATCAGAAAATCAAAAAATAAGTAGGCAGCAATGAGAATCCACTCAAGTAAACTTTTGGCAAAATGTTAGCACAGACTAGAAAAAACATGAACGCATTTCTGAAAATTCATGTCTAAAGTCTTTTGAAACTACTTGGGAAGAATATAATCAACGACTTAATGAACTGAGCGAGTCGGAACAGAACATAGCTGCACGAGATAAGATATTTGATGGAATTGCAGATGAAGATGGTCATGGATATTGTCGCACCTATGGTACTGCAGTGCACCGACGAGGCTCGTCCTGCTCCAATTCATCCATGCTCGAAGAAATAATCAACCGAAAGGTGTACGAGAGAGGGCATATATTTAAAGACAAGATGGGGGAGCTAGTGATTAAGCAATTGGCACTACAAGATGAAATTGCTGTTTTGAAGTCAAATAGGAGTAATTCAACTCATCTACCCAGGTATAGTGATACGAGGAAGTATAAAAAAGGGGAACTTAAACAACCATTCACCAGCCACATTGCCTAGCTAGGTTAAAAGTCTTTGACGGCAGTGCGCTCGCGGACCAAAGCAGAACCAGAGCTAACTCATACAACTCCAGAAGGGAGACGCAGGACAAGCTGCCCTCCGAAAACACTGCCAAAACAAAAATGTCCACAGTAAGTAAAGGTTGAATGAAAGAATCTACACTTGGGAAAAGAAAAGGAAAGGGTACTTGGAAATAACATAATGGATTGAGGCCAACCTTTTAATGTAGTAGTAACAGAAGTCTGCTAATATGAAAGTCTGGACAATTTCTGAAATAAGAACCATGGAAGGCCATAACCCATAGCCCAAGGCTACAAGCAACTGCCCACGTGTATCTAATACCTGTTAGAGCAATAGATTAAGTTTTATTAGTGGTAGAATCCAACAAGCTCATACCCTTTAGCGAAAAAACAAATTAAAGTATGATTCTTCTAAGACTTTGATCAATGCGCTCATACATTTCTATATAACTGGCACAAGTGTCCAAGCACAGACGGGTGAACTACAACTTTGAAAAGCAACTTATGACGCAACAAGGGTTTCACTCATCAATAAAAAAAAATTACGGTAGGAAAAGTTTGTTAGATATTTATTGTTAGTTTATAATCAATATGCTACTTTAAAATATGAGACTAAAGCCACCCAACAAGGTGCCTATATGGGAATTGATACAAAGAGCATCAGAAACAGCATTTAGGAATAAATTCAGAAACTCATCTAACATCATGCAAAATAATCATTTTCCAAAATGCCGCAAACAAAACAAACTAATACAAAGAAAACATGCATAAAGATCGAACCTGGAGAACCCAATGGGCACAGCTGAGGAACCTTGCGACGCCCAGTGCAAACACATAGTGTGCTGTGAATGGCTCAACAATCTGAAAGTAAAAATATAAAATGAATTAGGTCAGCAAGCAGTCAAAGCTGTAAAATCATAAACATTCAAGTTTTCCATTCTATGAAATCTGACCTTTGTGTTTTGCATGACCCGCAACTGAGGCAGTACGGAAACAGCTTCCAGATACACACAAAATGCCCAGGAAATCCTGTTCAACAAATGATGAGAAGTTGATGGATGAATAAACAGAGCTAGTAGAGCACATGGAACCACCTGCATCAAACCAGAAATTATATCACCATAAGAAAGAAGGCAACATAAAAAAGAAAGAAATAGTAAGCAACGTATTGCTTTTATTAAAGAATAAACTTCAAAATGCATCAACACAGAAAGAGGTAGTCAATCAATTTTTCCCTGTAAACATGTTCCTAAAATAGTCCAAGATGTAACAATACAAATTAACATGACTGCACACATAAGCGAATTTTTAATTACCTCTTTGATCAGAAACTCAACCGATAAAGAAAATTAATGCTTTTGCTTAATTTTATAATGTGAGAATTCGCCATCACATATAAGTATGTAACACTTCATAGAAATACAAAAAAAGATAACAATGATTGAGAGAGAAACTTACAACATAATATATTGCGAAGTTGTCCTTGTCCTCCATGTAACTAGACTTTAAGTTGAACCGGATCATATAAATGACCCAGAGGGTCGTCACCAGCGTAGCTAAATCTAGCAGGGTGTGTATATCATATTCCATAACTACACTACAGTATAATCTCACAGCTAAAAACATAGCTGTCAGTTCCTGCGATTTGAGTGATAGCCCTGCAAACAATTCCAATTCCAATATTTTCCAATCAGACTTTCACGAGTTTCATAGCCTAAAAGGAAAAGAAACATTGGTCTTGTTCCTAATTTCTAAACGGATAGAATTATGAAATTATGTTCTAACAATTATATCACCAATCCAATAAAGCCCAGAACTTTTTTATTTTGTTAAGTAACAAAATCAGATTTTCCCTCCATTGATAACAATTTTCTCACAAACCCAATTCAGGAAACTTTGCATGCGAAATTCCAGTCATCCTTATATCGGAAAATACCGGATTCCCCACAACAGAAAAGCAAGTACCAAAATCGAATCAACCCAAAAAAAACATCATTTGCATCAACAATCCCTAAAATCCCAAATTTTGCACCCATTCAAACAAAACAAAACAAAAAAACCCTAAAAAGCTCGAAACTTTACCAGCGCAAGTCTTCTCCTTCATGAGCTTGTAGATAAGAACGGAGATTCCAATCGAGTGCACAGCCTCAGCTGCAACAAAGAGGTTGTCGTGATCGTGGACGATGAATCGGAGCAGAACCAGCGCCGCCATGCCCGAAACAACGGCCAGAAAGGCCTGAACTTTGGACGGCTGGCGTCGCGCCCATGTCCATACGGTGTGGATCGGCCTCTTCGGAGCCCTCATGAGGTTTGGTTTTGCTTTGATTTTTCCTTTTTTTCCCCCTTTTGTGATTCTCTCGGCCCCTTGATTTCCCCGGAAAGTTTGATGTGGTAGAGAGAAAGTGAGGTAAAACTAATTATTGTGAGTAGTTGTGGTGCGGAAACAGGATCCCTCAGAATTTAGAGAGAGAAAGAGGGGAGAGGGAGAGATTTCCTTTCTTAATTGGACTGTTCGGTTCTGGTGATCTTTTCGGGTTTTCGGTACCCGTACCCGGGTAACACAATCTGATCCGGTATTTTATCAAAGATATACGAGCCATTTTATATGTCGTTTCTTTCAATGTGGCTCCTTGTCAGTGGATTGGATGTCAAGGCACCGTCTTCAGAAACAACTCTGACGCTCGGTTGCTTACCAGAAACCGTAACGTAATCAAACTATAGGGAGTAATTAATTAAATTATAAGTCCAAATTTTCACGGTAAGTGAGATGTATTTGATTTGATAATCGTCAAAGGTGAATTTGAATTACATTATTAATATTTGAGTTCAAGATTTTTAACTCAAAAATGGTTTCTCAATTCACAACTTAAAAACCTGTTTTTTGTTTTGAAAAACATCGTATTTATTTTGTTCTTTTTATCATCTTATTTCTAATAGATTTGTATATTACATAACATTTGTATTTGAAAGTGATAAGATATCAACCAAGGCAAAATTAGTAATCCAATTTGTTAGTGTCCATGATCATCTGGTTTCAAAGATATCCAATTTTCACTTTGTTAAACAAAGTCATGAATTAAGATCTCTTAAAAGTCAGTTGACTGAATTAAAATATTTAATCAGCTCAATGGTGGTAGAAGTAGCCTAGAGACGGACGCATGATTTGAAACCTCATCCGTAACGAAATTAAAAATTATGGTCTAAGTAAAATCCAATCCAATCCATAAATCTTAATTACTTAATTGGTTTCTTTTTAAAAATTGATAAGTTATGTCCTTTTTAAATCTCTAAGTAGACAACAAGAATTACCAAATAAGCAACAAACATATGTGATTCACCAATCACAACATGCCACCTTGACATTGTGATGGTGTTCACCCGTTATATTCAATGCTGTACAAAATTTGGTGAACCAAATTCCTACTTCAATTTATGCTCAAAGACTTCAAAATGAAAACTCAAAAGCAGGCTGCAAATTGCTCAATAGTGCTTGTGCTAAAAGTGCTTATGTGGCTTAAGCATTTGTTTGGGAAAAGTCCTTGGCATCAAATCTCATCTCTTCAAGGAAGTAATGACAAAATATGGGAAGGAATTAGTTAATTAGAATAGAAGGTTTTGCACTAGGAAAAGACATATTACAAGCATACTACATACAAGTAGCTTATTTAAATAAGCAAGAAGCCACTACTTCATCAAGTTGTTGGTCCTCCATCTACTCCCCTAACCCCTGAACCAAACCCTTGTGCCGATTAGGTCATCCTTAGGTCATAGGTTGACCGCGGTTGAATTAGCAAGTCCACGAATTTGATCTCCTCATTGCTGGCTTCATCTGTTTGTCATCCTCGAGCGCTATCATCCCCAAATGAGATGGGTCTTCCAACATCATCTTCGCTACCAAGTACCCCGCAACTGACCAGGTCTGGAATTTACGGGCTTGCTTCCCAACATAACGACCAAGTTTCCCATCGTAGTACTCAGGCCAGTTGTCTTTCAGCAACCTGCTCTCGGCAAGTTCAATGGCGCGTCTAGCTATCTGGGGCCTCCCAGTCTTGATGGATGCAGCAGTGAGAAGCCATAAGAGCACTGTACCGAACACAATGGCATGTTACTTGGCAGGAAAATTAAGATGGCACCAAATATAACTTATCATTACCGCATCATTTAATTATGGGGGTGATAAGTATAGCAGGTGTGTCTGTATATAGAGTAATCACCCTTTAAGCACAGAAAACAACTACCCTTTTTATCTTAATCCATCGCTAATAACTCATAATCGAAGGAAGGGGGAAGGACGATGGGGAGGAGGGTAGGCGTTTTTCATTACCACTCTATTATTAAGACCTATTGGAGGGTTTTTGATAAAAAAATCAGCATTAACGCTATGACTTTGTGCAAGGGAGAGTATAGTGTGAAAGCATACCTGGCCAAGATCCCCCATTGTGGTAGCTCCATCTAGTATTTTTCGGGTCGCAGCCTGTTACAATCTTCCATTCATGATTTTCTATTGCTGGATAACAGACCTTTAGTGGCATTTCTCCTGCCAATTCCTCCCATCGTGATTCTATTAGATCCATTATTGCCATAGATTGTTCAGGGGTTGCCAAGGACGAAAGAATCGCTACACAATTACCCAAGCAAAACCAACGGAAATCCATTCTGGCAGGACTGACATTCCCTATAAAGTAACCACCACGAGTTGGCATAAAGTCAAAAACCCAGTCCGGAAGAGAATCTGGCATCACATTGAACTTGTTGACTGCTGTATGCGAATATTCTTCAGTTTTATAACGATATATGTCATTTAACTGCTTAAAGTCTAGCCAAAAGTAACTTCTCATGTGATAGCTCAAGGCATGAAGGCGTTTTGATATGCGCTCAATAAACTCCTTCCCCTCATCATCGTGCTTAAGAAGAAGCAAAGCACATCTTAAAGCCATGAAGAAGAGAGCCTGAATTTCGATGGGATACCCGTAAACACCCTTGAAACACATAACCAATACAGAAGTGAGTTGAAAGACTTGAAAAGATAGGCAACACATTATCTAAATCTAAATGGAAAAAAAATATGTGCCTCAGAACATAAACGGCAAACAACTCGTAGTGATAAATGATAAAGATCAAGAAAGATCAAGAAATACCTCTTATACAAGAAATTGTAATCCAAATAGATTTTATTTATTAAATTTCTGTAGCAATTTCGTTGAGATTAATGCTCAAAATCTGATGGGCAGATAAATGATTCTCAAAGGCTAAGTGCACCAAGAATTGCTAGGGTATGAGTTGCGTGAATATGTGGGGGCTAGCATGAGCTGCATGGCAACTAAGTTACTTAGCTGACAACCCTTTACAAGACACCTAATAGACAATATAAAATGCTGCAGTCAGTTCATGAGCAAGAAGGCAATAACTGGTAGTTTTTTATTTGTTTTGGAAGGCAAGAGAACATAAACTCGGGTTAGAAAGAGAATTACTCATGAAAGGATGATTTGAATTTACTTTAAAGAATGTTATCAACTTTACTTACATAATCCGAAACTATTAACTTATGCATTTGCTAATATTTCAAGGGCTTGACTTACCATTCATGATATCAGACATATATGGCATATTCTATATATATACCAGATGATAAATACAGGACTCAACATGATTATGAAAAACATACCATTCTACGATCAATCATGCAGCATCCATCAGCACAAAGAAGGGTTGGAAATGTATCAAACCCCTCCGATAGGCATAAACTTAGAATAAGCCGCATACCCTTCTGGCATTCAGGCAGTTCAGCCAATGAAGAGTCTCCAGTGGATTTTGTGTATGCTCGAAGCAATATGATCCACCAAAATCCAGAATCAACAGGAGCAACTCTTCCTATCGCACTCTCACCAAAATCTGCTATTAAAGTCTCACTATTCCGGACAGGATCATGGAGTACTTTGAAACTAGCTGGCATTACTCCTTCTCCTAGATGAAACCTATCAATCTTTTTCTCCCACGACTGAAGACGAAGAGTCTTCAAGATAAAATTTTTAACTATTTCTGGTTCACCATTCATGAGAAAAGCCAATCCGCTGGGGACGAAGTCTCGAACAAACACCTTCACAGATCGATAAGAAGATCAAATAAGAACAAAATTTGTGCTCACCAACTTCATGTATTGGAAAGTCTGCCTAGAACTAGCCTGAGTTGAAGAAAAGCACAAAGGGATAGCTGAATCTATACTCTTTAGTTCAACAAAAATAAAAGTACGTCCTGCATAAAGCATCTCAAGGGCAACACATAGACAGCACACATCCACAGTTTGAAACATATTATTGAAACTGTAAAATCAGAATGTTAATATGGAGGTTTATGATTCAGATTAACAAACAGAAATATGCTAATAATAAAGTTTTGGTTCCCTCTACTAGACCTGTAAACGGATCGGGTTTATTGGGTTTGGGTCGGGTTGAACCCGACCCGTTACGTTAACGGATCATCCGAACCCAACCCGTTAAGCTAACGGGTCACCCGAACCCGAACCGTTAAGCTAACGGGTCACCCGTTAACAATTATTATTATTATTATTTTTGCAAAAAGTTTATTTTTTGTTATTAAGATTTTACTAAAATTACTAAAATATCCTCAACTAACGGGTGCTAACGGGTCCTAACGGGTCTAACGGGTTGACCCAAAGTGACCCGTTATTTAACGGGTTGTTAACGGGTTCACCCGTTAGCGACCCGACCCGTTAAGCATCCACCCAAATACAAATATTAACGGGTTGGGTCGGGTCGGGTTAACGGGTTGGGTCCAAAATGCCAGGCCTACCCTCTACTATTAGATTCATTACAGAGTCAATGTTCCAACCATTATGATACAGTTAATGAATAATTGAATGTAGCTACTAATTTAACAAAAACCAATAATAGCCATATCTAATCGGAAGAACAAGGATTAAGGGTCTCTACCTGGTCATAGTTAAGATTTTCTTCTGTGGTATCTGAGGCAGCAATTGTCCCAACTGGCTGACCACGGAAAAACACCAATGAACGCCTCAAAGTAGCCCAAGCTTCACCAATCATTGGATGTGGCTCAAAGCCCATCTGGGACCTAGGGGTACCCATGAGTGACATTCTACTACAGGGCGAAAATACGTACTCAGGAGGTTCAAAAAATCTGGAAGTGTTCTCAGCATTTCTCGATGAGGGATGTGGGGACACCGCAACAGATAGTTCACTGAGTGACCTCTCATCAAATGATCTTTTTCTCTCCATATTCAGAAGGCTTGGTTTGTCTAGTAACTTTGAAAAATCAATTTCGTCAATTTCTGCCACACTACATAGTGAATCAACATGTCTCATATCTCCATTGTGGGACAAATCCGCATTGGGCGCTGACATTTTGACACTTTAGCAGTGGACAGTAACCCAGTGGCTAGTTTTGTGCTCAACAGTCAACACCCTGCAATTCAACCACCAGAATTCAGCATTTATTGTATGCAAAATCGCAGTGATCAGCTACTTTCACCCCTCCCAGGTGTGATCTATGTTACACAGACATGACACGCGACAAGGCAACACGGCAAATCTCAAACAACAAGGACACCGACACGGCTAGGACACGGCAATTAAAATATAATAAATTTATGATACTTATATCACAAACAATTCCAGAATGTAATCAAAACATGCTTCCTGCGTATCCATAAAAAATAATTAACAAAACAAGAAAATGTTTTACATGCATACTCACTCAAGCAATTGGGCAATTATCAAATTCGCAGAGACGACGTACCTGTCTGCCTGATTGGTTGGTTGGATCAAGATACTCACTGATGATTTGAGGTTATCTGTTAGGGCAAATTTTAGGTATTACAAGTTTCTAAATTTACAAACTGCCCCAAAATGATCAACAAACCATGCAACAGGAAATTTCACACAACCGATTACAATCAGTAATACATTTCTTTACAACAATGCTAAAATATAATGTGGTAATCAAATATATCATTATCTTCTCAATCCATCAAATTTCAGCAACTGGGTCTCTACCAGAAAACTGGGTTTTCGATTTCTAAAAAAAAAAAAACAAAATAAGAAGCAATAGTCAATTCATCAATCTGATCATTCACAAGAAAAATACTCAAAAATTCATTCGCCAGACAGAACATCAATCACCGAAAACCAAAATCCAAAAAATGATTCAAGATCCAATCAAGTCGAAATCAACAATGATCCAAACCCATATAAGCATGCATGCAATGCGGAAATCCTAATTAATTAATCAATTAGGTTTTCAAGAACAGAGAGAAGAACTAACCTCGATGGAGATTTGAAAGGCCGCCAGAGCTTTCAGTTTCAGATGCATAAAAAATGAAATGAAACGAAAGAAGAAAAGCTCGGTAGTGAGAGTATTCTTATAGAATTAGTTGGGTGCTGCTGCCATGAGGCGGTGGTGGGGGCCATGAAGCGGCGGTCGACCGGACGAGCCGGTGAAGGCTTTCGTGTAAATTGGTAGAGGTGACTGGCAGATGAGCTATTGGGGCTCGAGTTTTTGTCTACACATCTCTCCCTGAATGAAATGAAATGATAGACCTGTCTCTGCCCCTCTCTGTCTATATATATCTCTTGCTTTTGGTATACGGGGCCCTGCGATGTACGGAAATATTTGGTAACGTGGGTGAGTCTGATTGACTGCGATGGGTAACTCCGTTATGTCCGTCAAATTGGAGATTATTGAATAATGAGTAATAATGTTATCCCAGTGTGTTACGTGATGTTACGGTCACAGTTAAAAGGCTTAATCGGATAAATAGTCCTTATGGTGACAAGGTAATCGGAAGATAGCCCTCGTGGTAAAAAAATTAGGATTTAAACCCTCGTGGTGCTAGTCCGTTAGCAAATTTACTCCGAAAGTAATTTTTCCGTTAAATGTCTGTTAATTAAAGGGTAAACATGTAATTCAACTTGTGCACCTTCTTCTTCCTCCGCAATTGCATCCAATTTCAATGTCTCGACTTTCTGTCGACGATTACAACGAGATTTTCGAAGGCGTCTTCCTAAATCAAACCGTCACGAACCCATCTTCCTCATCTCTTTGCTCCACAGCAAATGCCATTTCCATGTCCGTCGCCAAAACATTCATGTTCATATGTTGCTCTGCGTGCAGCGGCCAAGCAATCATCGAAACCCCCGCAACCACTGCTTCTAGGACCAAGTTCCATCCGCAAAGCGTCACGAACCCACCAACCAATTCATTCTTCAACACCACCACCTGCGGTGCCCATGACTTCACTACCATCCCCCTGTCTTTGGTCCTCTCCAAGAACCCTTCTGGCAAAACACCCTCCAAAATCAAAGTCGTCTACTCCAAGGACCTGTTTTGTTAGAACACACCTCACAAATAGTGGTACAAATGGTTGGTATAGCATTTTAAAAAATAAATGGAGAGGGAGGGGTCACTTGCGCAGAGTCCCATGTCGGCAGAAGGGGAGAAAAACTAGGATTGGCACTGGCCTGCTCCTTCCCAACGCCCCCAAATCGAACCCACTCGTGTCGAAGAAGACCCATCGACATAGCCATCACCGGCCATGGCTGCGATCTTAGCTCGGAACCCACTCCAAGGACCTGCTTTGTTCGAAAATCTCGCTGTAATCGTCGACAGAAAGTCGAGACATTGAACTTGGATGCAGCTGCGGAGGAAGAAGAAGGTGCACAAGTTAAAGTACATGTTTACCCTTTAATTAACAGACATTTAACGGAAAAATTACTTTTAGACTAAATTTGCTAACGGACTAGTACCACGAGGGTTTAAATCCTAATTTTTTAACCACAAGGGCTATCTTCCGATTACCTTGTCACCACAAGGACCATTTATCCGATTAGGCCCAGTTAAAATTGTTTTGGGTATTTGTAACTAGTTATATGCTGATTATACGTGTGTAATTAAATTTGTCTATTATTTGTTATAAAATATTTAAATCACTTCTTAAAAATAAAACATTTGCGCGTGGAACTTCGAGGAAGGGCTTAAGGGGTGGTTATGAAGTGGAGATACGGATTAAAAAAATATATATATCCTCCATTTTTTATTTTTTAAATAGGATATGCTATGTTTACTTAGCTGTGAGGTTCATGTAAAAGATTAAAAATTTGAGTGGTATGTAATTACTAAATTGCCATGTCTTTTAATTTTGTTTAGCTTTAATAAGAGGGTTAGAATAGGGTTCCACTAATAAGTAGCTTAGATAAGTAATGATGAACTATGAATGTGCACTATGATTTGTGTCAAATTATGCATTAAATATCATCTATAGGATAATTATAATTTGTTGAAACTCATTAATGCCATGTTGGCATTATATTATGATCGAAGCAAAAATTGTTGTCAAATGTGTAGATGAGAAATTGACATAAAAAACAAAAATGTGTAGATGAGAAGTGATGTTGGTATCATGATTTGGGTAGATTTTTTTTGGTACAACGATATATTTTACACTAAGAGATAAGAGAGTTTGATTCAATCACTCAATGAGCAATCTAATTTAATATCAAATTCGTAATCCACAAGATTTAAATCTAAAACCTCCCACTTACAAGTGAAGAGGAATATCACCCTATTGTAGAATTGAGTGACGATTTGAGTAAATTTTTGTATTTATATACATAAAAATATCAGTTATTTTCTGATCTAGTAATATTTTTATACATTTTTATCATATATTTCTTTAGAATTTTGTACATTCGAACGAGTTATATGCACTAAATCATATTATTTTCATTTCGAGCCATTTAATATCGGAACTACATGATACGTTTGGTGTGGGAGCTGCTTAATGGGCTTACGGAGAATTTAATTATTAGTCTTATGATTCATCATTTTTTTTTAATAAGGGATATGTCCATTAGGGTTAGTACACGCTAATTTGATATTGTTGTACTTAAAGAAAAAAAAAAAAAAAAACTGTTTATATATTTACTATGAGAATAAACAGTCGTAAATAAATTTGTTAAGTGTTTAGTAAATATATTTTTTATAAAAGTACTTTTAACGAAAAATAGTGTATGAGTGTTTGGTAAACTTTTATATAAATTGCTATGGATTACATGTCTAAAAAAAATATGGTATTTAATGTAATATAATAATTGTCAAAGAGAATAATGTAAGGGCAATAATTGTAATTTTGTAAAATATGTGATGGTATACTGGCCCTTTGAAGATTCATTAGATGAGCATTGATTACTATGCTTTGAAAAAAAAAACATTTTATTTAGAAGAATGGTAGACCCTGATTCTGCTTTTATATGCTTTTCTACTATCATTGATAGCAACTTTTTTTTTTTTTTTTTTATTTATCAAACACATTTGATGTTCAAGATTTTTTTTAATAAGCTTTTTTTTTTTTCAAAGCACCACAACTCAAACCAGCCCTACATATGTTAGTGGGTATTTTTTTAGTTAGCTAAGTCTTATAATGAACTAGATATAATAATTTGGTTTGAATTCGCCTTTGGCGAGAATCGGATCTAAGACCTTTCACTTACAAGTGAAAAAAAAATACCACTAGACCCTAGTAACTTTTATCAGCCTTTTGAGGCTTAGTTGTCGTGAGTTATATAAGGAGATTATTGCTACTTATTTCTTGATTCAGACCAAACATATACACGAAGGTTGCGGCAGAGGGCAAGGAGGAAGAGTAGTTTAGAGTTTCTCTTTGATAGAGCTATGTTGTAGCCTAATTACAAATATTTAATTTTCTTTTGCCATTTATTATCGAGTTTTTATTTCTCATTGAGTATCTTTTGTTATTTATAATGCGCTTGATTTTTATTTAAATGCTTGATAACCATCTAGGTTTTAATTAAGTTGATTTGATGTAAGTTAGTAGATGCCACACTTAACTTGAGTATAGTTTCTTACAATTGATACCGTAAACTCCTATTTGTAGATGCCATGTTAGGATTTGTGTGATTTCCAACAATTTCCATATAGCTTAATTAGTTCTCATTTAAATTAGCCTAGATGTCATAGAGAGTTAATATGTAGAGAAAAATGAATTATTTAGAGAAATGTGATCTTTAATATTGGAGAATTACTTGTTCATAACATAGTAAGGAGATTATGTAGAATTGGCTATGGTGAATTCGATGCTCTAAGTCTTGTTTTCTTGTGTTTTCAAACTATTATTCCATGCGTTTAATTTCATGCTTAATTTAATTTCCAGTTTAATTCACATTTACTGTGCTCAAAATCTAAAATCAATAACACACTTTCATATTAGAAAGTTGAAGCAAGTAAAAGTACACAACTGGTTAAGAATGCACTACAGTACGAGATGTATGTAAGTACTCAAAATCTAAAATCAAGAACACATTTTCATATTAAAAAGTTAAAGCAAGTAAAAAATATACAACTGGTTAAAAATACCTCTACAATATGAGATGTATGTAAGTCATTCTCCATCAAATGTGTGTATTTGAAGGTGATGTTTGAGAGGCATGATTGCATGACATGAAAACGTATGACAATGTGGGAGCTTTGGGACTGGGACCTTAAAAAACAACATGGAAGAAGGCCAACTGGGTCTATCCTGGCCCTTTGCAATAATTGAAAACAATGAGTAAGGATCATTGTTGGATTCTTTTTGTGAATATTTGAAAGATTTTTAAATTTTATGTGTTAATCATACATCATGTGATCAGAAATTATTATAAATTTTTTTATTTAAAATTGAATATAAACAGTACTTGATGAAAAACTGATCGTATAATGTACAATAAACAAATGTAATTGAAGGATTCTCAATGTCCTCAAAAAAAAATTCGGAGGAGATCCTCTCTCGAAAATAATGCAATTTGCAAAAATGCAGAGAGAGATGTCTTTCAATCTTTGTCTTTGTGCAAAACAAGGAGTCAGCAGATACAAAGTGGTTGGTGACCCTAAAACGCCTAAACGGTGCCGTTTGTTGACTCTCTCTCTTTTTGGCATCAAGTTAAAAAGTGGAAGCACTCACATGATCAATCAACCCTTGAAAATCTTGTGAATAATAAACAATGGTAAATTACACTTTACTATCTCAAATTTGAAATCTATTGCAATCTTATACAATTTTTTTTTTAAATTCATTTTCATATCACACATACTATTTTATTTTAATATAATATTTCCGTTACATTTTTCATCTATTGATCCGTTAAAAATTGACGTGGCTGCCACGTTTAATAAAAATAAAAAAAACAGAACCCCTCCGTCTTCCACCTCCATCTCCTCCAATCTCCATAACCACCAGTGCACCACCCCCTTCCAATCTCTAAAACCCATCTTCCCAATCGCACCTTCTCCCCTCTCCTCCACTCTCTTCACCACCCCTGCCATCCAAAAAACCCACCCGCAACCAACCCATTCCCCGCAACCCCAGGGCGATGGATTCTGGGACAGGGGGGTCGGCTTCCTCGTCAAAACGCTGGAAGTCGAACTCCCAGGTGTTGCCGACATCACCACTTTCGTCGAATGGGTTTTAGGGATTGGGTGATGGGAGAAGGGGTGGGTGATGGAAGGTGGGAGGGTGGGCACGGGTGGGGATTTCTGGGTTTTTTAATATTTTTTATTTTTATAACTTTTCCTTAAATAATTATTTTAATATTTTAAAATTTTTATTAAGTGGCAGCCGCGTTAACACTTAACTAACAAATATATGGAAAATGTAACTGATGTATTATATTGAAATAAAATAATACTTGGGATATGAAAATGAAATATTTTAAAGATATTATAAGAAATTAAAATTGATCCAAAATATGATGTGGTAAAGTGCGATTTACCCTAAAACAAAGTTGCAAAATTCAGCAAAATTTAACTTTATTTAAAAAAAAAAAAAAAAGAGGTTTAAAATCCGAAAAATTGGTGTCGAAATTCTTATGTGAATTGTTGACCTAGTTGTCATACGTGCGTGGGTTGATGACCACGTGCAAGCTACTTGACAAGGTTAAGTAGTACACGCCTACCTCATGCCCGGCATGCTTTATGTGTGAATACACGACTTGAGGCCATGTTTACTTGTTCAGAACGAAATTTAGAAAGGAATCGATGTAAACTTGAATAAGAACAAGATAGAATTAGAATGACCAAGAATAGTAGTTAGATATTTAAATCAAAGTTTTTATCGCCTGTCATGAGTTATAGTGAAAATGAAGTTGATTCCTCATTTTCCTTCGGAGTCTAATTATTGATTTGAAGTGAGCTGCACGTATTCTTTTAATCCTCTATTTTTTTTGGTCGGACTCTTGAGTAGAGTAGCTGAGGAGGGGTAAATAAAATTTGGGACCTCATTGCTTGAATAGATGTTTTAAACTAACTAAGCTACAAACTCTTGCTAATGTTGATAAACAAGGCTCTCAATAATTATCCCCTTTCCATGAAAATTAATATGCCTTAACTGAATCCCTAATGAGTTCATATTTATAGGTAGGTTCATGTTCATTCTAGAATGTTTATACATTGAGCAAGGTTCATCATATTAATTCAGAATCCTAACATTTGGCTTTGCCAAATAAGGGGATATTGAGATGTTATGGAATTTTTGTAGAATGTGATGAGTAAAAAGTTTAAAGACAGTGCTCACACGTTAGTCGTAAATCTAAGTAAATTCTACAAATTTGCATTAATGATTCACACTCACTGACTCTCACAAGAGAAAGATGGGAAATTGGATACATAATTAGAGGTGAAAGACAATACTACACCTAATAAACTAAGTTACAAGTCCCTCCCAGAAGTACTATTATATTTACTAAATGTTTTTGGCGATATATTTACATTAAGAGGAGGAAGATTTCGGCTAAGCAACGTAACTGGTCAACCATAACAATTTATCATCAAAGTCGCCGTGATGCTGTCCACATAAGTTGAACTTAAAACATCACACTTATAATAAATAGAATTCTATTAGACCGTAGTATGGTGTGAAATACTTTCGAACTAGCAAGTAGTGAATTGTGCTAGTAGATAGAGTCTTCGTCTTTACTCCACTGGGTTTCGGTTTCAAATCCTCTCCCTAGAATAGTATTGTCGTTTGTAGTTAAAGTTACTATTTTACCCTTTGTCATATTTCACGGATGCACTAAATCAGGGAAAATTTTCATAACTAGCCATATTTTGCACCACAAAATGATCTTTAGTCTACCTTTTATTATTCTTACAAATTTAACCAAAAACTCATGCAAAAGTACTAAATTACCCTCCTCATTTCTTCTTTTGTCTCTTCCCCCTCTCCCCCCAATCCACCATACCCCACCCCAACCCAACTCACCCTAGCTTTTCTCCCAAATCCACCACCACCATTGCCACACCCACTACGACCGACACCGCCGCCGACATATCTTGCTCTGTTACTCAATTTGGAAATCAAATTAAAGTTTAATCTTTCTACACTTGCATTTTGATGGTTGGATGTTGTGTTCATTTTTAACTCTGTTACTCTTTTGTGGTAGAGTAAACTCTATGAATATCATTTTTCCTCTTCATGTTTGTCATTCTTCTCCGTTTTGTGAATACGCTGTTAGTTTTGTTGGTGATGACGACAATTATGATGTTTCTTGCCACTGCTTCTATGGCTTTTGTTGGAATGGTTTACAAAAAATGAGAACTCAAAATATGCATAAATGCTTTAATGGAGGCAAATTAGAACAACTTATGATTCTTATTTGATCCGTATATTATATAAAATGATAAGATAAAAAATTGCAGATTTAGATGCATTTTTGAAAAATTTCTATCGTACGAAGAGAGCGAGATGTGGTGACAGCATCGGTCGTAGCGGGTGCGGCGATGGTGGTGATGGATTTGGAAGAAGGGATGGGATTAGGGGTGGGTTCGGTTTAAATCGGTTCGGTTTTTTGCCAAAACCGAAACCAAACCGAAATTTCGGTTCGGTTCGGTTCGGTTCAAATTTTTTTCGGTTCGGTTTTTTTTCGGTTCGGTTTTTTCCGGTTCGGTTTCGGTTCGGTTTCGGTTTTTTGTTTTTATTTTTTTTCAAAAAATGAAAAACATTGAAATTTTAAATTTTAACATATCCAACACAATCATAACATAAACATTCTAACTAGAATCAAAGACAATGAAAATAAATATTTAAAGTTGAACTAAAATCATCAATCAAGTCTTTCAAAGTCCAAACTAACAACCTCACAACACAAAAATCACACAAAAATCGTACAAATGACTTAGAAAAGTTAAATTGTATGATGTTGTTCAAAGATCAGTGTTGTTTGCTTGTAACTGCATGTTGACAACTTGATTAGTAAAGGTAATGCGCGGGCGGATTTATTTAGTGTGTGTTGGATTCTTTTCCATCACAAATTACCCAAGTAATCTACCCGAAATAAATGTTTATGGATTATGTTACATGTTATATGAGAGTAGATTTGGAAAAGAAAGCTGGCGCAGAAGTAGACAGTGCTATGGAGATGGATGTAGGTACTTCGGGAAGAGGTTTGGTTCCGGAACCTTATATGGGGGAGAAATAATAGGTTAGAGTTTAGAGTTTTTATAGGCCTTTTTTTAATATTTTGAGCTTAAAGTTTGGCAACACATTGGGTTAGCACATTTTAACTTACAAATTGGGTTTAGAAAATAATACCCAAAACAAATAATTAAATAAAAAAAATTAATTTAATTAATTCGGTTCGGTTCGGTTTGGTTCGGTTTCTAGATCACTAAAACCGAATCGAACCAAAAGAATTCGGTTCGGTTCGGTTTTTTCAATTCGGTTCGGTTTTTTTGTTCGGTTCGGTTTTTTCGATTTCGGTTTGGTTTGGTTTTCGGTTTTTTTCGGTTTTCGATTTTTTGAACCCACCCCTGGATGGGATGGGGTGGGGTGGGGTGGGGTGGACACGTGGAGTCGATGAGGAAGGGGAAGAGACAAGGGAGAAGGGGGGGGGGCATTTTAGAATTTTCGCATGGATTTTTGGTTAAATTTGTAAACAATGCGAAGAGTAGGCTAAAAATCATTTCGTGCTACAAAATACGGTTATTTGTCAAAATTTCAACTAAATCAGCACGCTGCCGTTTCATCCTTTCCTCAACCCTCCAGCCCGCCCTGACCGAGTCCATTAAACCCTACAAGTTCAACTTGTTGTATATCCGTTAAACCCTAAAAAACCATAGTGACTGACAGGAGTTCAACAATGGCCGGCTCCGAAGCCACCCCTAAAGCTCAACGATCGAAGAACAAAAAGAGAAAGCAGAGGAGTCTCGGAGCATCCGAAAGACCTTCCAAAACGCAGCGTATTAATGTCTCAGAGAAGGAGAGTGAACCGCAAGAAATGATTGAAGTTGGCGCAGATGAAAAGCACGAGGCGAGAGAACCCAGTCACGAGCTCGAAGAAGGCGGTCCATGGCGGAACCTGGAGTTGGTTTTGTCAATCCAGAACAAAGAAATTGATCTTGAGAAGTGAGTATGGTTATATTTTCTACCTTTTCGTTGTTTTTATTCGCTTTAATGTGTTTAGATTGCGAAAAAGTTCGAATTCAATCAATTGATAGTTTCGGAAGTGCAGAAATTTGATTACGTTGAGTTTGATGGATGTGATTTATGTTCCTACAAGTTTCTCAGCTGACAAAATGGAAAATTTGATTTTGATTTTAATGAGTGAAGTAAACTTAATTTAAAATTTTATGATCAAAGGTTGGTTCTTGGCTAAAATATTTCGATATTTGAGCGTTTTTGTTTATTTATTTTACGAGTAGGTACCAAGATAAATGAAATGTAAAGTCGATGAAGCTTTGTCTTAGAAGGGGAATCAAGGAACTTATAATCCCATTTGAACCAAATTGGTTGAATTAGACTTAATCCATCTGATTTCCTTCTGCAATTGAGAGTAGAAACCAAGATTCAAGTTTCATGTTGTCTTCGTTTCCTCATTAAGTGATCAAAAGGAGGGTTTAGATTTAATTCTGATGAATGTACTTTCTAATCTGAACGAAGATTTAATTCTGATAACTGAGGAATGAAAATGCAGGAAGGTGGAACTAGCTTATGGTTTTGTGATATCTAGAGTGAAAGAAGAAGGCGGCAAGAGTAACCAGGATACTCAAGCAGTCAGTATGTCACGTTTAATAATTTTTGTCAATGATTGGATCCAGTCATTGTTGATTTCTTCAGGAAAGAAAATTCAGAGTGGTGGAGAGAAGCATCAAGCCGAAGTTATTGACACATATTTGGATGTTAGATGCTGGGAAATTTTCAAATTCTGTTTGGAGGAGTCTTTGAAAGTGAATGTTTCTCTAAATTTCTCACGGAACCTTTTACGTTCTATTGATTTGATCGCAAGAAATGCACTGTCCTTATTGAACAAAACATCTTCACGCCCAACTTTGTTTTCCAGCAGTGAAGGGTTACAATTGTACAATACTGTGCTTGATTGCATAGCTTTGGTGTTTTCATCCCATGGAGGCTTATCAAATGAAAATTTAGATCTGTGGGTTTCAACTGTAGGTGCAGTGCTTGATCTAGTCCACAAATTTTACAGTGAAAATCTTGCCTATGGCAACGGAGGTCACTTTGTTTTCCGATTTGTGAGCTTGGTGTTTGAGCCATTTGCCAAGTTTTTGAGGGCCCACCCAGCTCGGAAGAAGGGATTTCGTGATTTTATCGATAAACTCCTTGAGCCTCTGTTGCATCTCTTGGGTCTCTTGCATCTTCAGATTGAGGGAATTAATCCTGATTGGACAAGAAACTTATTGAAGCTAGTTGAAGAAGTATTATCTCATGGGCTATATCACCCAATCCACATTGATGGATTTTTGAGCTTGTGCAGTAGTGAAAAATATGCCACATCCAATTCTGGGAAGTCAAAGGACTCCAAAACAACGCTCAAGAGTTATCACAGACATTTATTTGATAAACTGGAAAGAATTTTAGCTGGAAAGAATGCTTTGGCAGTGGAAAGCATAGGAGAACTATTTCGCTTGCTCATCGATCAAGTTAAAAAGCTAAAAAGGGCTTCAGTGCTGACTGAAAATACCAAAATGATGGGGAAGACTGAAGGTTCAACTAGTACTACACTAGCTGAAAAGAATTACTGCTCAACTAGCTTCAATGCGGAAACACGAAAGTCACTTCTTGATTTTTTTGTACTGATTATGGAGCCTCTTCTGCTTGAGATTAACGGCTATCTTGAAGCTAAGCTGGAAATGGGACCTGTATTGTTGGATGTTCATTGCACACTTAAATCTGTTAATAATTTAGTTTTTGGCTTTATGCATGAAAAGGTTTATGTGAGAACGGAGGATACATCTGCTGGAGCTTGCCTTAATTTCTTGAAGAAGGTTTATAATATGATTATATCATTGTCCTCCAATTTAATTCAGTCATCGAAATATGATGTAGTTAACGGGACACACGTGGATGCTCTAACTTTAATAGCCAATGAGGTGCTTTCTGCTGTGGGGTATCTATTGGAAATTGAATATGAGGTTATAGAGAATGATTTGGTAAGCTTGTGGCTTCTGATGCTTTCTCACTTAGCCATTGGGCTTTCACTGATGGATGTTCCGGATCGGTGCTCATTATCTTTCAAGATAAACGATATTGGATGCCAATTAATTGTTCTCTATAGTCAACTTCGCCAGGTTAGTAGAATGCTCTTTGATTAAGCATTGGCTGCTTTTTAACTTCTGCATGCATATACATATACCTGATTATATATGTATTGCCGTTTCCGAAATCAACTATTTTACCAGTTCCACTCACGAATTTTAGGGGGCGGGTCGTGAATTGTCAATTTGTCCCAGATCATTTCTAGAACTGAGAGTCTGTTTTGTTCCCTTGAGGTTTTTCTGTTGTTTAACCCCATCGTTTTACTATTGTACTGCAGGTGAATAATACTATTTTTGCATTGTGTAAAGCAATAAGGCTTCTAAGTTCACATAATGGTGATGGTGAACGAAACTATACTAGATTTGTGATTTCTTTACATGGTGAAGCTTATGCAAAATCAGTGGAAATGTTATTATGCTCGCAAGAGTTTAAGATTGCAATCCAACAAGCTATAAATTCCATACCAGAAGGCCAAGCAAGTGGGTGTATTGGGCAGTTAACTGTCGATATATCAGAAACTCTAGAGTGGATGAAAATTAGTTGTTCAAAATCTGATGAAAAGGAAGTTGACAAATGGGATGTGCAAAGTAGCTCGCATGGTTTTAATCTGGAAGCTGAGCTTTTGGGGAGAGGGTTGTCTGAAATGTATGCACTAGTGCTAGACTCACTATTTGCCACACCTGGAAACTGTAATCTCCTTGGAGTTTCTATAAAGGACCTTATAGCAGTACTTTTTCCTTGCATGGGCCGTCTGGTTTCACAAAAGCCAGATTCTTTAAACAAGTTCCTTTTTTCTGTCACAGGAAAAGGTTTTGATAATGAGACAGCTGAGAACAAAACTAATTTGCTGATATTTGGATTGTCCACTCATTGGGTTTTTGTGTTCTTCTTTCGATTGTATATGTCCTGCCAAAGCTTATATAGGTCAGCAACGAGCCTTATGCCTCCAGATTTATCAAGAAAGATGTCAGCAGCAATGGGAGATTCATTCACATCATACTCTGGTAATGATTGGATGGAGATGACTGACTGGACCAGTGGGGGATATTTTTCTTGGATCAAGCAACCTTCAGCTCCTCTTCTTGTTGTTATTCAATCCATTTCAAACATCTATTGTAAGAACTGTGCGACAGATTCTTGGTCTTTGACTTATGTAATGCATGCTATGGCTTTTAGAAGGCTTGTTGATTTGAATAGGCATATAAAGTCTTCTGAATATGTGATGCAACATAACAAAAATCTGGTGCAAGTCAGGTTGTCTGAAGATGCTGGCTTGTCAAGGTGTCGTAAAAGAATCAAACAGTTGGAAAGGCACATCTCTGCCTTGAAGGAAGAGGCGGCAGGTCTTGCTGGTTTTCTGATGGAGCACCTATCATTAGTGTCTGAAGATCAACGGCCAATCTTCACTTCTGATGATACAAGTTGTACTAAAATGGTTGCCCATGAAACTGATGAATGGGATTTCAGTGTTTCTGCTTTGAACAAGAAGTCACTGCCAACTGCAATTTGGTGGATTCTTTGCCACAATATTGATACCTGGTGCACTCATGCGACTAAAAAGAATTTGAAGACATTCCTTTCTCTTTTAATCCAAACTTCCCTTCCCTGTGTAAGAAGCAGCTTTGGGGTGGTTAGAGAGCACAATAACCATGTAGCTGACAGGATGAAGAAAGTAACCTTGCATCAAATCTCATCACATTGCTTCATTGACTCCATTCTGTATGAGCAAAGAGTAAGCTTCTATCAAACATCACATGGTGCTTCATTGACTCCATTTTGTGTTAATTCTTGTTTGTTACACTTTTTTATTCTCTTATTGGGACATACACTATTCTGTGCCTTTATATAAACACTTTTCTACCCAGGTATTTATTCTATCGCCTCTATTAGTTTGTCTGCAGGCATTTTGCATCAAGTTTTTGCCGTGCATTGGAGAAATCGACAATACAATTCATCAGTGACTTTTCATCTGGCGATATTGATTTCAAATCATCACCAAATTGGCCGAAAGTTTTAAATGACCTGGAGAACTCATCAGTGGTTGTTTCCTCTAATAAACATAACATATTTGACCGTTCCTCTGTAGCAAATCCGGTCACTCGTGCTTCTGATAAGCTGCTTACAGGAAGTTGCAAGGAACAAAATGCCCTACCATTGACCATCATGAAATTTACAACTTGCCAGAGTTTACTTAATCTTTTGTGCCATATGCCAAAAGGTCATTTGAGTTCAAGATCAATTTCACTTTATGTGACTTCTATTCTCAACCTTGAAAGGTACAAACATTATCCCATCATCATTTTTTATGGTGTGATGCGGCACCAATGGTCCCCCATAATAGCTCTTGTTGCTTTTTTTCAATAAAAAATAAAATATAAAAATCTTCTGGTGAGCAATTATTTCACAAATTTGTATACTCGTTAAGACAGAAATATCCACTAAATTGAGTTAAGTTTTAAGATGGAAACCTATCACAGATAGTATGATATGGTGGTTATTCATTTTTCCTTGCAGATAATACAATTGAATACATGTAATAAAAAGTAAAAGAGGCTAAAATGTTTTTTGTTGTAAAACTGTTTCAGAAAGCGTTTTGCGCAGAACTGCTTGTTACTGACAAACTCTATCAACTTCTGAGCTTTCTTTCTTTAGTCTCATGTGCACCTTTTTTCCCAGCAGCCTAAAGAATTCATTTCTCATGGAAAACATTTATGTGCTTAACAATTGAAGCTCTCTGATAAGTGTAGTCTTCGTAGTTCAATGAAGATTTTTGTTAATATTATCTGTTCTGTGTTTTTCAGGCTTCTTGTTGGCGGCTTATTAGATTGTCAGAATGCATTGAACTCACATCATTATCACGAGCTCTTCAGATTGTTTGTGTCTTGCCGGAAGGCCTTAAAATGCGTAATTCTGGCTTGTGAAGAGAAGATGGCAGCTTGTCAAACCTCACATGCTTCAGTGTTACTTGAGGATGCATTTCCTGTGTCATGGCTTTACAAGTCAGTTTATGCGGTTCTTGGGATTCAAGAGTCATTTTCAAAAGATAATCAACTCCCATTTAATGACATGATCTTGTCGCTGATGGATCACACATTTTATGTGTTTCTGACATCAAGTAAGTATCAACTTAATCATGTCGATCATCGTCCTAAAGCTGCCAAACTGAATGCTGAAATTGTCCATGAACATAGTAATTCAAGTGAATCTGATCAGTGCTTGGATCCTTCCAACTCTATTGATGCTAGGAAAAGTGTAGCCATTATTGCTAAGAGTTTGACGGAACAGATGCAAAGCTTACTATTGACTTTGAAGAATGGCCCTTATAACAGAAAAGTGGGGATTGATGTTGATGCTCTGAATTTGAACAAGTTTTCATCCTTAGTTTCTTGCTTTAGTGGGTATTTATGGGGCCTAGTATGTGTTGTGAACCATACAAATGTGAGAAATAGTGATCATGAAGCAAACTCATCAAGGCGGAAACTTGAATCCATCACCGAACTCAACCTCTGTATAAATGTTTTTGCAGAGTTTTCTAGTCTTCTCTTACAAATGTTGCTTTTCGACGATAAACAACAGTCCAGAACTTTATGTGATGCTCAAAATATTCAAAAGACAAAGGTAGAGTCCAGTGCAGAGGATTTTATACCACAAGGCACTGGTGTTGAGACTAATATTGCTTGTGGTGGACTGCATAATGAATCTGGAGTTGCAATGACCTGCTCAGCATCACCTGACATCCATGATGACTCAGGATCTGGTAGTGTCCGTAGAAGAAAGTTGCACTTGAAAGGTGCTGTTTTGGCTGCCAGTGCACTGAGTGATGTTGATTCATTTGAATTGCAATCTTTAAATAAGCCTTTGTTGAGACGCCTGCTAAAAGGTGATTACCCAGACGCAGCATTTTTGCTCAGGCAGTTGTTTATTGCATCTTCAGCTATTTTGAGGTTGAGTTTGCATATGAATAGTGCTCCCCTGTCCTCAAGCTTGGTGCATACTTTTACTGGCATCACACAAGTCCTGTTATTGGAATCAGTGGACATGAATCATGTGCCACACTTTTTTTATTTTGTGTGTTTAGACGGTGTTCTGAAGTATCTGGAAGAATTGGCCAAGCATTTTCCTCTGACTAATCCTACGCTATCCAGAAATTTGTATGACAAGATGATTCGGCTACAGTTAAGGGCTTTGGGGAAATGCATAACTTTACAGGGAAAAAGAGCCACCCTAGTATCTCATGAGACAGAGTCAAGCACCAAAATGCTCCATTCTCCTATGGGATTTTCTGAGGCATCTCTGTCTGGCTGGCCATACTTATTAGATGAACTTAAAGCTAGGTTGAGGTCATCGTTCACAGTGTTCATAGAGAGACCATCAGAGTTGCATCTTTTATCAGCTTTACAAGCTATAGAGAGAGCACTAGTTGGTGTGCGGGAAGGGTGCACCATGAGTTATGACATACATACTGGAAGTGCAGATGGGGGAAAGGTTTCTTCAGTTGTTGCAGCTGGCATTGATTGCTTGGATTTGGTTCTGGAATTTGTTTCAGGTAATCAACACATCTGTGGATGGAATATTTCGGTAATTTTGGATCAAACGGTTCTACTATATTCTCAAAGGTGTCTATGGTGACTGTTTGTTCCACATAGCAGTTGCAAGTTGCAACTGAATTCTAACTTATATTTTAGTTCTGGGTGTTCTACTATCAGTAAAGTTTTTACTCGACCTTTGATTTTAAAAGGAAATGTCGTAATATATATGGGGTTATTTTCTAAACGTTACTGAACATCTTTCCTTTTGCACGCATATCATGAATGTAATTTGAAAACATTGTACTTCCCAATGAATATGGGTAGTACAGAAATGAAAAAAATCTTACTAATTTTGAAGACACGCTGGATATAACTACAAACCTTGCTGAAAAGAACTTTAGTATTTTGGAACCTATATTGGAACGTGGAAGACACTTGCCCAGTGTTGCAGAATAGGGGGCATGAACTAAATCTTTGCTTTTACATGTCTTCTACTAGTCATAGTGTTTGTGAAAAAAATAAGAACGTTAGAGTTGCTACGTATATTTCATAATAGTTATCCTTCTAGGTTCTAGGTAATTGATGTCGCTGTATGAAATCACAGTTTATCACCGCTCTGTTATGTATAATAGTCATGTCGGCTATTAGTACGTATTTTATTTAGATTTCAAGTGCATATGATTACAGTTTGTTGGGACTTGCTTGACTGAACATTTATTTTTCTTTCAGGACACAAACGTTTGAAGGTTGTTAAAAAATACATCCAGAGCTTCATTGCTAGTGTGTTCAATGTTATTCTACACTTGCAGAGTCCACTAATCTTTTATGAGCGAGTGGTCCAGAGTAAAGGTGATACTGATACTGATACTGATCCAGATCCAGGAACAGTTATTCTTATGTGTGTTGATGTACTGGTTAGAATTTCTGGCAAACATGCTCTGTACCAAATGGAGCCCTGGCATGTAGCACAATCTTTACGTATACCTTCAGCACTTTTTCAAGACTTCCATCTCTTAAAACTTTCAGAAGCTCCCATTCCTGATGATTCTTCAACAATTCCAAATAACCAATTCTCTAATCCAGTAGCAAGTTTACATTTCTCTGGCATAGATAGGCAATACTCGGTTGACCTATTTTCTGCTTGCTGCCGATTGTTACATAATGTTCTGAAGCATCACAAAAGGTAAGTGTACTCCTTTTGTATGAAAAACCTCACGACTATTAACCTTGGGAATAAGCTGGAAAACATAAAAGTAAAGGGCTGAATATGAAGAAGAATAGCTTTAAGCTTTTGATATTCATTTTCTGCAAATTGATTATTGAAGAGGGTTGATATGTGCGCTGAATTTATTTTCATTTTTGGTTTTCGTCCTCATCAAGTAGACTCCGAATATAATTGAATTGTTGTTTCGTAATTTCTAGTGAATGCGAACGGTGCGTTGCTATACTTGAAGCTTCTGTTCGTGTACTTCTTCATTGTTTGGAGACAGTGGATGCTGATGCAGTCGTCAAGAAAGGTTTCTTTTCATGGGAAGTGGCTGCTGGAGTCAAATGTGCTGGTAGTCTCCGAAGGATTTACGAAGAGGTAGGTGACTTTTCTTATACATGCCTCACAAAAGTTATCTTTATTGTCTTACATTTTGGGTATATGTTCCATTATGTCGAAAGGGAGAAAACACAATGAGATCTTTCTCACCAGATTTTGTCATATCTATTTTGCAGATAAGACATCAAAAAGATGTCTTTGGTCCGCACTGTGCCCAATTTTTATCTAATTACATATGGGTTTATTCAGGATATGGCCCCCATAAAACAGGCATCAAAAGGTAATTTCTGGTACCTTGGAATATTTGTTGTAATGTTCATGAGATTCTTGATGAGCTCAAAAGGCATAACCGATAAGATAATTATACACTTGTGTTTCTCAATTGTTTTTGTTATGAATTAGTACCTTCAAAATTAGTACGTTATATCAACTCCCACTGGCCTCGGGTTAAGGTGGAAGAGGGGTGAGGGTGTAGATCCTATGTTTATAAGTCACTTTCTTCCCATTTTCCTCCCTCTTAAAACTTTTCCAGAAACTTGAGTTTGAAGCGATGTTATTGCCTTCCAATTTTTGTACAATGGGAGGATAATATTATAAAATAGGTGTACGTTCAAGTGACCTATTACTATCTCCAAAAGCATTAACCTTTGGAGCGGACAATCTTGGATTGACCGGCATACATTCATGTCATTCAGACTACCTGAACTATCATATGTTTAATTTTCAGGGAAATAGATGAAGCTCTAAGACCAGGTGTATACGCGCTAATAGATACTTGCTCACCAGACGATCTTCAACGTCTTCATACCATTTTCGGAGGTAAAACAATTTTTAACTTTATCAAGGCTAAAATGTATGACTTGAAGGGCATTTAAATAGTCTCACATTTTCTTCTTGTTCGTGCAGAGGGTCCTTGCAGAAACACTTTGGCAACCTTAAAACATGATTACGAACTCAATTTCCAATACCAGGGAAAAGTCTAACCGAAGCTCTTTCCTACGGTGGGCTATACAGGCATCGTCATTTTGACATGACTACACAACTCTCCTAACATGTAAGTTGTAACAAATAGGGTAAAATGTAATGTATGATTATAAATTTGTAGTCATATCTTTCTCATTCTTTAAGCTACAAATGGTAGCAAATCCTCATTGAAGTTACAAAGCTCTGTTCATAATACTGACTTGGGCCTAACTTATCTATGTTAATGGGCTGTCATCCCTTTTTGGGTCAGAATTTTATTGCTTGTTTGAGCATAAGTTTAAGCGTAAACAGTGCAACTTTAAACGTTTCCACATTATTCGTTATCATAATATGTGGAAAATCTTGTCTTATCCAATTGTTTGATTCATGTGGTCGTGGTATTAGAGCCTATTTACGAGTGTAAAAAGCACTTTTGCTCAAAAGCGTTTTTGTTAGAACCGCACTACGTACGACCTCTAACGATAAGGATCATGCTCATGATGTGTTTCTCACCTAAAATGTACTCTCCACCCACCCTCCTTGTTCAGCTGGTCCCCTTTCATTTGGGATATTTAGTGATTCTATATTCCTAAATGGTATGATTAGGCAGCTGGTATGAAAACGATTGATTGAGCAACCACCAAACCAAATGCTTAGTCCAAAAGAAAGCACCAGAAACTTGTGCGGTTGAGATTATGGGACCTATAAGATATACACACAAGTCCTTGTTTATATTTGTCAATTGGGTTTCAAATTTCAATTTCCATCTGCTTTTTTTTCTCTCTGCAGAACATCAACTTCCATTGACAGAGGCCATTGAATCTTGATGGGACATCACTGTTGCAGAAGAGAGGCCCCCTCCTCATACCCGGTTCTGGTTTTCTTGGCGGTGGCCACTGTGCTTCTTCTTCTGTCGTCTTTGATCTCCTTCGATGTTGAAACCCCCACGTTTGAGATCAACTGGGGGCTCATAGCCATGCCGTTGCTGTTGCTAGCGGTTGTGCATTGGTTGTCGTCGGAAACTCCCAAGAAGCCGTATTGTATGCCTCCACCGTGTTGGAAGTGTGGGCCCCCTTGCAAGTGTGGCTACTTCTGAAAAAGTGCTGCTGTAGTTTCAAGAGAGCTGGTTTGTCTAGTACTCATCTTCGACTAAGAGGGTTGATTTCCTTGTTGGTTTAATTATTGTATGTAATGAGTTAAAGCTGTTGGTACTCGATCAAGTTTGGGTAAAATATGGTTGTAACATGATTCTGATTTCGTGAATATGATTGTAAATTTCGCATGTGTTTTTCTTGTATTCTTCACTATCCTCAGCTGGTGACGCCATTGCACAAGCGAATCGAAATACCAAATTTTCGTCGATTAGCTCTTAGTCCAATGATACTTCTGTTATTATAAAACCCTCCCAATCACCCCCAAGAACGAAAGGGGAGATATCGTAGTTCATGGTCTCTGTAAAAGAAACGTTTTTAGGTGCTCTGTTTCATGTCCCCATTGAGCCTAAACTCGTACACTGATAAAAGATGTATGGATTTTGAAGAAGAGTGGACCCATCAGAAAATAAAATTAACCCAAGCTAAACATTTGATTGAATGAAATTCATATTTGCTTTGTGTATTCGAATTAAGTTTTTGTTTTTCTTTCTCAAATCAAATGTTTAACTTGATCGTGTTGAGTGAATCCACGATAAGAGACGTTAAAGTTTTCTTTGTTACCCTGATTGAGTGATTTTCCCATATCTATCCCCCGTTCTTTCCATCCACCCTTGTTTCGTCCTGCAACATATTCCCTAGTCATCTGATGACCAAGAATATTCACCGGTCACCTGCTCAACTGTTTATCTGCGATCGCATCCGTAATGTTTTTCTATTATTAAATTTGCATGTCCGGTGCAGGAATGGGGTTGTAATTATTATCGGGCCCAGTGGGTTGATATTTTAAGCTTAAAGTGCCTCCACCGACTTTTTGTTAGTGCACACAGAGGGGATGGATGCATGCCACGGATTGAAAGCCTCCACCGACTTTTTGTTAGGCCACGCAGAGGGGATGGATGCATGCCACGGATTGAAAGCCTCCACCGACTTTTTGTTAGGCCACACAGAGGGGATGGATGCATGCCACGGATTGGAAGCCTCCACCGACGTTTTGTTGGGGCACACATAGTGGATGCATGCAACGCATTGGAAATATGAAAAGTAACGTAATTATTTATAATTTGCTATCCGAATAACATAAATTATGTAACGTAAAACATGTGTATCAGTTAAGTTTTATATATAAAATAATCTACTTTGATATCATAAAAAAATATGAAATTTCTACATAAAATTAATTAGTAATATAAAAAATAGTTCGATTATTTATAAGTACATGCAACATTCTCTTTTTTTCTGCTATGAGATCAATACTCTCAAGTTGATGACCTAATTGAAGGGAAGCTTAGCAATAGCTCTTAGTAACAGTGTAGGTACTATTTTTCTTTTCAATTCCAAAGCATGTTAAAGTTCAATTTCCTCCTTTCAATAATAAAAAAAAATGTCGATCAATAGATTTTTTTTTAATTTAAACAAAATTAATATTGGGAAAACATATGTGTATTGTAGGGATCTTTTTAATCAAACCCATATTATGAGATTAATTTGCGGGAGAAATTTTTAGTTACAATGGGAATGCGAATGGTACACCACATGTTTTTATGCAAGTGGTGGAAAATTTTAATTTTTAAATTATTAACCTTTTAACACACATAACCCACCATTTATATAGAGACACGTGATGTACAACCTCGTATGACGATCACACTAAAAAATATCTCCATTTGCGGATCACCTTATAGAAAATCAATCCCAACAAATTCCCTTGTGACATAGGCAACAATTAAAATCGTTAAACCTTCTTTTACTTTTTCTTGCACAAAAAATGGTAGAAGCTTAAAATATGTAAAATAAACCATATATATGTCTTTATCAATCACTGGATTTTTATCTTTAGAATATTTACTAGAATCTCTTTCTTTTTGGCCGGTGTAGGTATCTTTTGAGAGTTCATGTGCTTGAAAGCAAACACATATGCATAAGTTAAAGAACTCTTCTTATCTTATTGGTCTTCTTTTCCTTGTCGGCCAATGCATTGCCGTCCACTTCACCCATCAAAACCCCATAACTTTATTAAGCAATATAAACAAAGAAATCTAAAACCAAATATCTAAGCATATACTCCTAACAAAGAAACAATAATGTCATTTAGATACGCAAAGCTGACTACATAGATGGGTGAATTTTTTTAATTATGGTTTGTATTAGATAATGCGTCAATAATGTGAACAATTTTGTCTTATCAAAAGCATTACTCAAAGAAATACTTGATCCTTTATTTTTATTTTTTTAAAACAAATCAGAGTTTAATAATGTGTGCAGAATTTTTGTTTTTCATAAATTACTTGTTTATGCGTGTAGAGGTCGCACTTGGTGCGATGACAAGTGTCTTTGCCCATGAGCGGTAAGTCTCAGGTTTGAGACTTGGAAGCAGCCTCTCCATAAATGAGGGTAAGGCTAGCCGACATTCACCTCTCCCAGACCCTGCGTAAAGCGGGAGCCTTGTGCACTGGGTACGACATTTACTTTTTATGCGTGTGAGTATGTAGTTTACAATAAAAGAGAAAATGACTTTTTATGCAGAAAACCCAAGCATTATTCTCTACTTAATTCAATAATTGAATACCTCCAAAACATTTACTCCCCACCCCACCATCTTTTGTCTATAAAGCCACAAGTCCTTCAATTCATAACAACCTCTTGAATAATCTACTCTCCTTCCAACAACAAAAAACCTTCCCTTCAAATCACATGGCTTACCATGGAAGAAGCCAAACCAGCTCCTTCTTAGAAGGGTTTTCTCTAAGCCCTCTGCCCTACCCAGTTCTCCTAATCCTGGCAGTAATCTCCATCTTCTTGGGCCTCTCATGGTACTCCTCCTATGAGTCAGCTGTGGAAGAAGCTGAAGAGCAATTCAATTGGGTTCTTTTGCTCATACCAATAGTTCTCATCCTCATTGTGAAGGGCCTCTCATCTATGGATCCTGATTGGCTCTTCTCCATGTCGCCGTGGGACCGCCGCCGGAGGACTCACCATATACCTTCAGAGGGAAGCTCACCTTGGGGTGTTGCTGCTTTCATTATTCTCTTGCTTGTTTTGCTGCAATACCGGTCTTCTTTTCGTGATAGCTGGCTCATTTAATTAGTATGTGGATGTAGTAGGATTGTTTTTTTTATGCTCTGAGTTCTAAGTTTTGTACGTGTATATTGGAGTTGTATATAGTGAAATTTGATCTTCTACTTCAAATTTCTGTGTTGCTTTTTACTTTCATACTAATCGCGATAAAAATTTCATGAAAGAAAGAGATGCAAATGTTTATATTGTCTGATTTTGAATTTTAGACTCACAGTTCAAGAAAAAATGTAACATAATCAGTGATTTGAAATGAAAGTATCTTATGTTGTCATACAGTTTGTCAAAAAAAAAAAAAAAAAAACGTTTCCTTCTTTATTCCATCTATACGTAATATGATCATTGTGGGTTTATAATTCTTCCATTATATGTTTTTCTAATTGTTTCATTACCCTAATTTGCTTGCTTGGGAGTAATAAGTAACTGTCCAAAGTACCTATTATAGACAAACTTTATACTTAAGCTAGGGTAGTTGTAATTTGTAAGTGATCATGTTTATTGAAACATGAAATAGGTAACATATTTGAGTATGTGAAAAAAAAATTATCCCACATCAGAAAAATAACTTAAAAGGAATTTGACAGTTCCGATCGCGTTGCCAATTGATTTTGGAATGAAACCTTCAAATATTCGTAAAGTTGTGTTGAGGCACCATGAGACTTGAGTACAATCAAATAACTCAATTGCTTTGTCCATTTGCTCTTCATGTGAAGTTTGTCCTATTAGTTAAACGAGGGGCCAAATAGACTCAAATGCATATGACTAAAATAATTTGATCTTATTGATAAGAAGAAATATATGAAGTAAGTACATGAAAGTGATAAAAAATAATTAGATAGGCAACTTATGTCCTTGAAAGTTAGGAGATAATTGTCAAGCCGGCCAGCCAATAGACAACGAATTTAGCCTGGAAATCTCCTCATATTGTGTATTTCATTTTCAGCTATTTGTTTATGTCTGGCTTCTTTCACATCTGTAATCAAACTCTGAAAACAACCCTCCCTCACCCATTTAATTATATAAATTAACCCAAACCAACCCTACCAACACCTGTCTTTGTGGTCCCCTGCTCTAAGCAAACCGACCTTTGAATAATCATGGATTTTTTTTTTCTTTTTTAGAAGCGATATTAAGGAAATAAAAATTGCCTTTAGAATCTCAAGTGCAGAGATAAATATTTTTAGATACTTTAATTACAAACCTCTTATGGATAATCATAATCTTTACCTCAAATAATATATATCGGGCCAAATTAGTAAGTGCATATTTTAGATTCAGGTTTTTATCACAAATGATCCATAAAATTGATCCTCACCATCAAGGTAGTTCTTGAAATTGAAATCAATCAATGTAATCCCTGAAAATGGATGTTGCAAATCAATGTGATCATTCCGTCACAATTCTATTAAGTGTTGATGTGACACATAAATAAGTCCCATAAGTCATTTTTCTCATAAATGGTCTTTGAAATTGACCCGCGACATGAAAATGGTCTCTGAAATTGACCTACGACATCAAAATGGTCCATAAAATTGAAAATCAATCAATGTAGTACCGCAAGTAAATGTTCCAAATCAATGTAGCATTTCCATCACAATTTTGTCAAAAATTTTGTTATGTGCTGATGTGACACATAAATGGATACAAGTCTAATTAAATTAAAAAAATTACAAATAAGTTTAATAATTTAATAGTTAATAAAAAATTGTAAACCCAAAAATCCAAAAAACGTGTGGTTATCCTCATAATGACTTTATCATGAAATATGAATGGATTATAAACGTCATGAAAGTATCTTATTACTTTTCAAGAAAATGGAAAACAAATGACGGACAAATGGTGGGATTCCATTGATCAAGTGTAGCTGTTGATGAAATGAAAAGGGAAAGAATAGTCAACTTTGTCTTGGTTGAAGCAGTCCATATGGAATAATGGATGTCATGGATAAACCACTAATCACAACAATGGGAGAAGATATTCGTCAGGGCTATCTTATTAGGAGAGCTCTTTTATTGAGTAGGGATCACATGAAATTGGATTGATAAAATACAATAAGGTCTTGTGAGAGGTGAGGGCATTCTTACACAAATTTTCTCTAACAATGCGAGCATATATTCGTTAGAACTGTCTGATTAGGGAAATTTTTTCTTTGAGTAGGGGTTGTAGGAGATTGGATGAGACCAAATACAACAAAGTATCATGTTCTTGTAAGAGATGTTGTATGAAAGACGTGGTAATAAAAGGTATCCGTACACAAGTTTGCTTTCTACCTTTGGAAATATCCATATATTACTTTGGAGAGCCAAACAAGTGGACCAATCAAGGAAAAAAACAAAAACGAATACAAGTGGATCAAAACAAGTGAAGAATCGATTATAACTCTCCACCAATAGCTCAATCAATGGAAGACTTTCCAAGACCTAAAAAACAACACATTTGAAGATAATAATATATCAACAAGATTTCTGCACAAAAGAAAATAATCAGTTTCTACTACAAATCAATAACTTATACTCTAATAAAAATTATTCTCTCTAAACGTTACAATGCTTCCTTTTATATCCCATAGTCTTAATATTTCTCTGCTCAGCCTAATCCATAACTTTCATCCAAAGAACAAGAAGAAGAGGAAGAGCATAACGTTAACTCTTCTTCTTCTTCTTAATCTTTAATTCTTATTAACAATGGGTTCCTGCTTCCCTAAACAGCTCGAACGCCGGAAGGCGATCTCAACGGAGCGGAAAGCACTACGTGATCTCCACCAAAGCGTTGGTGAGGACTTCCCAGCATGTGCCTACAGGCCTCCGGACAGGAAAAATTGGATGGCGGGAATCAACCCGAAAAAAGTTCACGTAAACAAAATCGTATGGCCGGGAACTCATGACTCTGCAACCGACAAGATTGGAATTCCATGCATCACTAGGCCTTTTGGACAATGCCAAACAATGTCTATATACAAACAGCTTGTCACAGGCACCAGAGTGCTTGACATTCGGGTTCAAAAAGATCGCCGGGTGTGCCACGGAATTCTTATCACATACCACATTGATGTTGTGATCAAGGACATCAAAAAATTTCTGTCCGAAACAAAGTCTGAGATCATACTCCTTGAAATCAGGACGGAATATGGGCACCAAGACCCTCCTGATTTCGACAAGTATTTGGTGGATGAGCTCGGAGAGGTCCTTATCAACCAGGACGACAATGTGTTCAACAAGACTATTTCAGAGTTGTTGCCGAAGCGAATAATATGCGTGTGGAAGCCGAGGAATTCACCTTCCCCTGAGGCAGGGGCGCCTCTGTGGAATTCTGTCTACTTGAATGACGATTGGATTGACACGGATTTGCCATCAACGAAATTCGAGAACAATTTGAAGTGTTTGAGTGAACAACCTCCAATTTCATCAAGGAGATTTTTTTACAGGGTGGAGAACACAGTGACACCTCAGGCTGATAACCCTGTTGTGTGTGTTAGGCCTGTGACCGAACGGATTCACGAGTTTGCGAGGTTGTTTATAACGGAGTGCTTCTCGAGGGGTATTGCAGATAGGTTGCAAATCTTCTCTACTGATTTTATAGATGAGGATTTTGTTGATGCATGTGTTGCTGTTACATACTCAAGAATTGATCACGGGAAAGCCTGATTCTTCATCTTAACTTGTGTCATGTGTAGCTTGTCTTTGTTGATGGCAACCTTCTGCAAATATTCAACGTGTAAAGTTGTGAATCCATACCGTTGACACTTTCGGATAGACACAATTGTTGACACTTTCGGATAGACACATTTGTTGACACTTTCGGATAGACACATTTGTTGATACTTTGCCTATCCATACCGTTGTGTATTTACTTTAAAAGGAAAAATAAAACAAAAAAGTAACGATGCTAAAATGCACAGGCATTCGTTTATCCAATTCCAATCCATTACATCTTTTAGTTAACAAACGATTCAATCAATCCGACCTCCCACCAAACCACTTGGAATGAACCGATGATTGGTAAGACACCAACACCAGAAGCAGCACCAACAAGATGGCAACACCCCACGGCGAGCTTGAGCTGCCACCCCTGCCTGCTCGTTGAACTGCCTCGCGCTGTGAAGGCCGGTACCCGGAGTTGAACCATCCGGTAGAAGAAATCGAAGAGTACGAAGCTACCAAAAATATCAAGAAAATAGGAAAGGATATTAGGAAAAGGTGGGCGTTGATGGTTGTGTGTTGCATTTGGGACTTGTAGTCGGTGTACTGAGAAAGACATAAGAAAGCAATAACAATGGCAAAGATGGTGAGCAAATGTAGGGGAGGTGCAGAGATTGAGGTTAGGGTTTGGCCAGTCCAACCTTGCTTCCACTGTGGGCCCCTCCTCTTAGGGTAGAACCACTCCATCCTTGTCTTCCTCCTTCAGTCTCCTTGCAGCTAGGTTTTCTCTGTGTGTGTGTATATATAAGAGGTAAAAAGAGAGGGTGTGGGTTTTTTGGCTTGAGTTTTACACTAGGTTGTGGCTTTGGCATATATGCTTTGAGTGTAGGCTTTGCTTCTCACAAAGTTTTACTTTGAACAAATGCTCTCCCTAGACATGCAAGTAATGGTTGGTGACTAATCACGTGATTGATGCCTAATTGGCATTGATGTCTTTGATTAGTTGCTCCTAAATTCTGGAGAAACTTTTCAATGTGACTCTCACATAGGGTTTACCGATCCAAGCTTTATTATAACACGCGTATCTAATTACTAGGACTAGACCCAACATCCATTAAATACCGACCCTATCATCTAGCTATATATAACACCGTGGATTAGTAACGCTATGTGTGAGGTAACACGCCAAAAAAGTTTATTGTTTTACAAAATTGATTCACCAAATTCAGTAGGCCAGAATTCAATTGAGATTTAGGGCAGGAAAGAGAGGACCCCTCAGGACCCCTTTTGTTCAAAATGTTTATGCCACATAATATGACTTGTATTGCTCTCTAATGTCCACCATACAATAAGTGACCCATGGAAAATGGATAGAAGATATATTTTACTATCTTTATGGAGGGGGGAAACACTTCAAAAACGACCCAGGAAAAAAAATTCCTTATGATAAACTGGCTCATACATTTGTTACAATATGCTTCAATCTCAAGGTACCTTCGCATCGGCCCTTTATTTGATCTCGGAACCACCATAATCAAGCAGCAACTTTCTTGGCTGTCACAGCGTTGACGATAGTAGCAAATTCAGGGCCCTGGTGGAAGAAAACTCTAACTTGTTAGTGTCATTTATGTAAAAGTTACAACCAAAAAAAGATGGTTCTAAACCACGTAATGCTTTTCGCCTTCGTGTTTGAAATCTCAAGGCAAATAATTGCAGGGGTATACCTTTAGGGAAGCACCGCCAACAAGAAAACCATCAATATCTTCCTTCTTTGCGAGCTCAGCAGAATTGCCTCCATTTACAGATCCTGAAATCATATCCAAATTCAGTTAAATCTACTACCAGCACTCAGATATTTGTCCAGATCTAAGACTAGAATATCCTGACCAGCTGACAGCTGAGCGGAATCATTATGTTCAAATGATATTTACGACAACGACAAGTTTGAATGTCTCCTAAAGTTCTTTAGATCTTACAGTTAAAGCATCGATGATGCCATTATTGCCAAGCCAAACACCAAACTCACACAAAATTTCAAGGTGAAGTTAAATCCATATATCAACTGGCCCCTCTTGAACCACCTTCGGAAAGTGTATGACTAATTTAGGTTGCTCAACCGCAGTGGTGCAATTTTTAACAAATGGACCCTCAATGAGAAAGTTGCAGGAAAAAAGTTACCTCCATAAATAATTCTTGTTTTAGATGCAACTTCTGCTGACACATTCTGTTTCAGCCAATCACGAACAGCTACATGTACTTCCTGAGCTTGTTCTGGACTGGCTACCTTACCAGTCCCAATGGCCCATACAGGCTCATAAGCAACAACTATCTTATCCCAGCTGGGTACTGCGTCTGTGCATAGTAGACATATTAGGGTTATACAAAGGATAAGCTGAATACCTTGACTACACAATCGTTAAAAAGAAGGGTGAAGTTACCTGCAAAAGCCTTCAGCTGCTGAAAGCAGATGTCAAAAGTTTTCCCTGCTTCCCTTTCTTCTAGCTTCTCGCCAATGCAAGCAATTACTCCAAGACCCTCATTCAACGCATAGGCAGCTTTCTTTCCTATAAACTGTAATAAAAAACTTCAGTTACATTTTGAATATTTACAATAGATCAGAAAGTTCATAAATTTTTTTATTCAGGACACCTCCGTTAAAATTTAAACAATAGATTTTCAAAGCATTCACCTGATCATCTTCACCAATCACATGTCTCCGTTCTGAGTGCCCAAGAATAACCCATGTGGCTCCAATATCCTTCAATTGTTCCACACTGCAAAATGAAAATGGTACTAGCAATTATGTAAATTCATCAAACTGAAAACACAGACAGAAGTGTGCTAATGCATTCATAAGATAATCATCAGAGACCCATGTCACCTCAGAGCTTAATACACTACTGTTATAAGATATGGATGTTTGAGTTGCAATCTTGAAACAGACCACTCACTTTCCTTGAAGTACAAGGACTTAATAACCTTTTGGAATTGATTCCAAATTCAAACAGGACTTGAATAATGTTTAAATTCATTTATATTGAAAGAAAGAAAAAAGTCTTCCATACATAATTGGAGAAGAGCTTCGAAAGGGGGAAAAGCAGAAACTATGAAACTGCTACCCAGCAAGTTTAAAATGTCATAATGAGAATAGTCTCCAATCAACACAACCAAAGATCATACATCCATTGCAAAATGAAAGTACATGTATATGTGAAAAAAACTACTAGTAATTTAACAAGGAAGAGAAACTGACCTGATTTCTCCTGTGAAAGCCCCACCTTTTCCAACCCAGGAATTTTGACCAGATAACTCAATACGATCTGTTAACGAGCTCTTCACCTGATCTAAGTAAAGAAATGGTGGTGCTACAACAACATCTGTACATGTTATAAGAAAACCAAAAGTTAACAACACTAAACTTACACTCTTAAATGATATCAATACAAACTTGATTTTACACATATGAAACCATTATGTACATGCAAAGTAACATGTTGGACTTGCCACCCTTGAACATCTATGACCAACACCTTTTTGGCCATTGTATATAGTTCCAAGTTTCTTACCTAGCTACAATTCTATCGCTGCCTTATTTTCTGAAGTCATATCACCCAAACTTATTTTTCACTTCCATTCATGCAGAGTTATCTTTCTACCCGATATTGATCATTTTTCATGTATATGTAAAGACAGGATAAAAGCAATATTTTAAATCAACTGCAAACTGAAAGAGGTAAATAATGAAGATTAAACATAGCATTATCTCACCGACATCCGGTTCCAGTTTTGCGCTGTTCAAGTCAGCAACTAGCTTGCTGATGGAGTCTTTTGTGCCATTCTAAAACACAGAAAAAAAAAGGATAAAAACATCAAAAGAAGAACAGAACCATACTAAAAGGGTTTCAAATTTGACTTCATATGTACATCTTCAACATCCAACAAAAGAGGCTAAGAATATAGATTAAACAAAACAGGTTATACAAATTTTGAAAAACTTATTAATTATGTATCACTGAAATTAACAACTAAAATTAAAATACCAGGGCAGCATTGTGCCGGCTTTATATTTAAAATCCATTGAAAAATGGTAGTTTTTTACAGATGCTCTGTCAAGGAACCGCGCAAATTCGTTGAACAAAAAACAAAGCAAATAGACAATGCAGCAAAAGTACTTACACACTTCCAGTTTCCACCAACAAAGAACTGCAAGAAAAATAAAAGATACAATCAATTAGTAAACTCCGGAAAGGAGAACCCATAAATATGAATAACTATGAATACATCGTGTGAAAATTTCCAGAAATTTATAGTGAAGGACAACTGCATTATGAGAATAAGTACTAAAATGTTCAAAATTTCTAGGAAAATCCAATAGCAAATAAAAAAATTTAATCGGTTAAGATCGAAGGTCCCTCCTTTCAATTTTCTCGGAAACCAAACAAAAGACAAGGACGCGATAACAACAAGGAAGCTGGAGTAATAGAACTAATAATCTACCTTTCCAGTGCCGGCCATGGCGACGACGCCTCTGGAGGCCTTGCGGGAGGAGGAGGAGAGGCGGAGGTGGGAGTGGAGGTGCTGGAAGAGGGATTGCGTAGCGGAGAGAGAGTGAGAGGATTCGAGCTTGGAGCACGACAGCCGGAGGCCGGAGTAAGAGGAGAGGGATTTAGGGCCTGAGAGTTGGGAGGCTAGAGATGTGGAGGCCACCGCCATGGCTGCTAACTCAGCGAGTTGGGAGCTTCCGAGTTGGGGGTGTTTTACTTGTTTGGTGCGAGTGAGGTAGTGAGTCAGTGAGCGAGAGAAGCTTCGCCACTTGTGGTGGTTAGGTTTTATGGTAACCAGAAAGGGTTGTTAGGATAGGAGCCTTCACGCGGTTGCTAGACACGTCAATTGCACGCGACTTCATTTTTTTATTTTTTATTTTTTTTATTTTTTTTTACCAGCTAACAATCTAGCTTTGGTTTTATACCGGTGGTTTGTCAGGTACCAACCAACGGTCGCCTAGCTTATTCCCCTAAAAAAAATAAGAAAAAAATAAATACAACTGTTTGTACCGTACTTGATTAATCCCGAAATTACCAAGCACCGATCAACTTCATATTATCAAGGACCCATTGAGGGATTCATGCTAAGACACCCATGTCGAAGCACTTTCCTTTCATCCAAAAGGCCAATCACAGCACAACATGTGTCAATGTCAGAATAAAGCTTCTAAAGTTCTATATTGTTGAGTTCTGGTCTCAATATTTGTTGTATATTTCATTATGAAGATTACAAGAGAGTGAAGGCAACTCTTATAGAGAGCCAAAAGAAAACTACAATAGATTGTATGATAATTACACAAACACAATCCCTAAAATCTGCCCTAACAAGTCGAAAAAAAAAAACCAAATTACAAGTAAAGAAGCTTTTACAAGCAACTAAGAAAGGTTGATGTAAGGTGAATGACAAGCTATGAAAAGTGATTGGTGAATGACAAGCTATGGAGAAAGGTTGATGTAAGGTGAATGGCAAGCTATGGTGAGGATGACAACTTATACATACAACCCATTCATATAAACCGGCTTCAATACACCCCCTCAAGCTGGATCAAGGGGATTGATTGATCCAAGCTTGCACAACAAACGCTGAAACTGAGTAAAGTCTAGTGCTTTTGTGAATAAATCAGCAAGTTGATCGTGGTTACGTGTGAACACAGTGTCTATCACCTTGGATTGAATTTGAGCACGAATATAGTGGCAGTCAACTTCAATATGTTTAGTCCTTTCATGGAATACTAGATTGGATGTAATGTGCATGGCAGCTTGGTTATCATAATACAAGGACATATGTGTCATACTTGTGAATCCGAGCTCGGAAAGAAGACCTTTCAACCATATGAGTTCACAGGCTATTGCTGCCATAGCCCTATACTCAGCTTCGGCACTAGATCGAGCAATAACAGTTTGTTTCTTGCTCTTCCAAGTGACAAGGTTCCCTCTAACAAATGTGCAAAAACTTGTTGAGGATTTTCGATCAAGGGCATTTCCAGCCCAGTCAGCATCTATGTAGGCCAAGATGTGATTTAATCCATTGTTCTTCATAATTATCCCCCTTCCTACTGAGCTCTTGAGATATCGAAGTATTCTCTTGA